CCTTAAACAAGATAAAGACTCCAAGTAGCGGGTTTTGGTAAAGGATGAGAACTGCTATTTTTGTTTTATCTTCTGACTTCCTCTAAATGTAATATTCTAAACTAGGAATCTGCCAACGGCTCGTTGGCAGGATTCTGCTAACATGCAAGTCACTCATTGGCTAAAAGATGCTGCTTTCAGCCAGTAGGAATCCTAAATGTGTATGGACCACCCGTCGTGGTGGTCGTAAATGTATGTAGTCATTGGTGTACCTTACACCAAGGTCGAGGAAGTGTTCAAACATCTAACAGACATCGCATCTGTTTGAGTAACAAGTGACTGTAGCCACTTGTGCGTGTAACCCCGTTACACATGCGATACGATCGCAAAAACCTGTAAGCCAATGTATTTGGTGTATGAATAATCAAAAACGGATATAAGAGGTATATCACAGTAAAAAATCAGTCAATCAACGTTTGAACGTGACGGCTTTGACGCGTTTTGGTGCGGAAACATGTGCTCGAAAACGCGTAAATTACGTGGGCAAAAGGTGTCTGATGATTTTTTCTTTGACTGTTTTCAAATAGAAAAAAATGCAATTTTGGCAGCCCTGCCTGAGAATATGAGGCAGCCTCAAACAAAATGATACTAAGCCACCATTTAGAGATACCGAGATAATCGCGTTTGAAGTTGACCAATCAAATTTCGTACCTAACAGGACATCGAAAATTTGAAAGTTAAAATCACTCGTTATAAGCGAAACACACTCTAATTCGATTGCTTTTAGCACGAACTTTCCGTCAATATACAATACGTAAATTTCGGAGAAATATTGAGCTCACAAGCCCCAAATAAAATCCGGGATTTGGGGGGTCCGAAAATGGAGATATTTTTTAAGACCGACGTCACTCCGCGAGTTCTTAACATTTTTCATCTCTCAATAGCTCAAAGAAGCTCAGAACACGGCTCTTTCGAGCGGACATATTATGTTCATTATTTGTATAGTTATCGTACTTGCTCACATGTCATCACATGTGTATGGGGTTAAAAACCATACTTAAGTACAAGCCCATGATAGTTCATGATGGCATCAATAACCGAGGAAAATGCATAAAACGTAAATGGGCCTAAATCGTTTCAACCTTGCGAGTAGCACGAGATAGCGAGGCTCGTTGGCCTGCAGCTAGTCATCGCTATAGTAGATTGCGTAGTTAACCATAAAATGTCTTCGAACTGGTAGCCGCAGTGCTGCTGGAAAATTATTGTTTTAGAAGTCGATCCATCGTACGACGTCAAGTTGAAGTCAACTTCAACTGCAGCTTGCACTAAGTTTTGTCCGCAAAGTGCTTGTCTACGATATTAATAAAATTTAGAGAACTATTTTAACTAGTTGGATTGACTTCACGTACCAGCGTGATTCTTGCTATCGTCAGAGCATACGGACCCGGGTCGAATGGGCTCGTTCAGCTGCTTGCCGCTGTTTATCCTGCCGCCGCTGCCTGCCGTGCCGCCCTTACCCCCACTGCCGTCAGGCTCGATGAACTCGACGAGATACGTGTCCATCATGGGCGTGTTGGTGAAGTTGATCTTGCGGTGGAACGTGCAGCGGATGTCGATCATGTCCTTGACCACCTCCTGGACGATGGGGCTCACCAGGATCTTCTCGGGGACGCCGTTCGACTCGAGTTCGTTGGCCGTGAGAGCATCCGGCCCCCACATATTGTAGCGCAGTGTCGTGGTGCCGATCACGCCGCCGATGATGTTGCCGACGTGGATTCCGATGCGCACTTGTAGTCGCTCGCCCGTGTTCGGGTCCTGCAGGCGCAAACACAATGAATCGATGCTTTGCTTCTCTTACTTCGTAGTACAACTGATTAAAATTGTTTGATACCAACTTTACAAGGCGGATATACTGTAGATGCACAACACCATCTCGCGGAAGTCTGCAAGTGCACAATATTTACTAACCTACAAAATAGCCGACTGAAATTCTGTCGGCAGCTGACCTACGTCATAAGCTCGTGGGTTGAGAGCGATTCCGATGTGCGGTGCAGCACGCTCACGTCTCGAGAGCACAGACGCGTGGGCTCATTCCGTCCTGAATCGCAGCCAAAAATCCGCGAGAACAGTCCTCCTTCAACCTTCCTGGCCTTAGTGTTGCTGCGAGGCAAGCGCGACGGCCTGCGCTGCAGAACCATTGCATATTGGTTCTTCTGGCACCGTCTCGGGCCATCACCTTCGTGTCGCCGCGGGTTGCAGCTCCAGACGTTGTCCTCCATGATGCTGGACAAATACTCCACAATCTCCTGGTGCTTCATCTTGGCCGCTCCCTTCCGCGCCTGGAAGAGGCACCCCCTGGTCGAATATCTGCACAGCAGCTTCACACATTTGATGTGTCCGTTCTTAGCTGCGTCCTCCAGCGCCCGCGGGTGGGGCCCTTCCGTCCGATGTTTACCCAGGAACTCCACCACTTCCGTATGTCCGAAGCCAGCAGCACAGCCCATAGCCACCGTCGTGCACCCCTCAGTGCGATTATCATGCAAGAAGCGCACGACGTCGAGGTGGCCATTGGACGCCGCCATATCCATCGCTTCGTACGTGCACCCCTCGGTCCGATGTTCGTGCAGATACTGCACAACCTCCAGATGCCCCGCGATCGCCGCCGCGTCCATAACTCCAGCCGAAAACCCTTCGTAGTTATGCTCGTGCAGCCACCGAATAGCCGTGAGGTTTCCCCGCGACGCCGCGAAGCACAATTGCCACGGACGCACGTGCACGAACTGACGGGGTACGTTATCGTGCAGCCAGTCCATGACCGCAACGTCTCCGCTGTAGTGGATTGCATAGTTGAGCAGGTTGCCCTCGAACTGGTAGTCGCTCAGGTCGCAGTGCTGCCCGATCCACTGCAGCGCGTCGAGTCGGTTGAACATGACGGCGCAGCGGATGACCTCGTAGAATTCGAGGCGCGGGTTGTGGCGGTGTTCCGGCTGCTGGGAGACTTGGTACAGCAGCGCCAGCATCTCCAACTCGTCGCGGATGATGGCCAGTTGGGGCAAGTAGCCGCGCGGCTGCGGGTACAGCGCAGTGACCGGTGTCACCTGCCGGCGTCGTTCCGCCTTGACTCGCTGCGCCTCTCGAGCCGCGAACGCGCCCACGACGAACGGGACGCCGCGCATGAAGCCGCCGATATGTTGCAGCAGCTCGTCCTGCGTCAGCACCAGCAACGCAGGCGAGTCGCCGCGAGGGAAGAGCGCCATGGAGGCTGGAGCCAGGGGTACGGGTCTTGTTGATGTTTGAAGGTGGATGAGTGGGATCATCGATGGGCGGGTACCGATGTTGTGGTACACTTGTGTGCTGGACGCGCGCCACACGAAGTTGAAGTTGATCACTCCAGCGAGCCCTGGGAAGAGCCGGCTCCTGGGCTCTTGGGTGAACCCAAAAAGTCGCGAGCTCGGGCTCCTGGGCTCTTGAGTTCAACAGGTTAAGTGAAAGGAGCCCTCCAGAACTGTGAGCCCTCGTTAAGGGCTCCCCCTCACCTGTGTTAAATATCTCGCTGATGATTGGCCGTCATTGAAGTATCTCCAGGTTCTAACCTGAAAAGACATAGGAAAAAGGGCTTCTCCTTGAGGGGAAGGAAGGACTATCGGCGACGCTGGGGTGGCCTCGGAGCGGCTGTACACATATGAGCGGCGCGAGATCTTCTAGTGTGGCGATCTTTGAGCTCGATCTTCTAGCGTGGCGCATCGATCACGCGAAGTTGCTCGCCTTAAGTCTAGGTAAAATTGGCCAATCAGATATTACTATGAAGAGCCCGTCATAGATTTGAAGCTAAATTTGGGGAGCCCTGGAGGGGAGCCAATGGGGAGCCCGAACCAGGGCTCCTTGATCTCGTACTTACCATGAGGGAGCCCATTTTGTGCGACTTTTGGCTCTCGTTTTAGGGGGAGCCCACTTTTGAAGTAGACGGGCTCGGGCTCGTAGAAGGTGTGGCGAGTCCAGTGGCGTGCATTGGAGAAGTAAAAGCGAGAAGGTGGAGGAGGGGAGGAAAATTGTTGGATGCGGACAGCGGGAGGTTTTGGTCAGCACGGTTTTACGCCCTTGAGTTCAGTGACGCCTTTCAACGACGAGTCCACGCGCAGGCGACGCAGCAACAACTCTCGAGACTTGAGGAGCGCACGGAGCAGTGGGGTCTTGCTTTACCTCAGCGCGGAGTGAGGCGAATACAACGCGAAGTATCAGGGGTGGCTACCCTAGCGTTGCGTCTTGCGTTTTACCATAATGGTGGGACCCACGCTTCTGTTGGCATGACATGGTTGGTCGCAGCATTTAGTCGTCAGCTGCCGCGATTTGCTCGGAGAAGCAGCTCGGATGGCGGCTCCATCCAGCTTGAAACAACCCTTGAAGCCGTGATGTTGTCGATGTTCGCAATCGAGGAAAACAAACTACCATAGGTACTAGTAAATGGATATTGTCGTCACTTCAACTTGTATTGTCGGCTGGCTACAGCCAAGGGTTTTGTCAACCGCTACAAACTCGGCAACAAGTGCGTGGTTGCTATTGTGCGTTGATCGTTAGCTGTTCTCTTTTCGTTTTCGAGGCACGCTGGTGACGACGTCAATAGCGCCAACCACCTCCTCATACGACGAGGTGTATACATAACTCAGAGGGCGATGCAGTAGGGCGTTTCGGAAATGCTGGAGGGCGCAAAAATACTCTGCGTATTGCCTGCCCTGGTCCAGTTCATGGGGCGTTTTGTGTGGGCGCGCGCCTCACTGTGAATAGCTCCATTGCACTGCAGAAACCCCAGACGTCGACCACAGCCGCCGCTGCTTGCATTGAAATCGGGGTGTTGGGCGCTTTCTCTCTTTCCGGTTGGTTGCTCCGAGGGGGGAGTGCAGCGGCATCTCGATACTTTTGTCGACGTGTGATAGCGCGACGTTGCTGACTTCCCGAGCCTTGGTGGGTTTATGCATGAGCGCGGTGCCAAGCCTGCTGTCCCGCCCGGTCCTCCAGCAAGCAGTATGGCGTCTTCGCTGCATCCGCAAGCCTTCCGGTCGGGCATCAGCAGTTTCCCGTCACCGGTGAGCGACGTCACCTTGGTCTCGCAGAAGGTGGACGCTACCTCGAGCGCGGACGCTGTCACTGCCACCTCTACCAGGACTAGCAAGAAACCCCACGAGAAACCCAGTTTATTCAGCCGGTTATTTCGCCGGAACCGCGTGGGGGACCAGCCCAGAGAAGGCTGCGATGGAGGCGCTGGGGGCGATTGTGATAACAATTCACAGGAACTCAGCAAGAGCCGCTTACTGTTTGTGAACGATGTGCGTCGCACGATGGCCTACGCTGCCTATATGCAGAAGAATCACCACGGGGACCCGTACTGGACGAATACCGTGTGCTCTTCCAAGTACACAACGCTCAATTTCCTGCCCAAGTCGCTGTTCGAGCAGTTCCGTCGCGTGGCAAACTTCTACTTCCTCATCATCTCCCTCCTTCAGCTGTGTACAAACCTGTCTCCCACCAACGAGTACTCGACCATCGGGCCTTTGATGCTGGTGCTAACCGCGACAATGATCAAGGAGGGGCTGGAGGACCGAGCGAGGCATCAGCAAGACTGGATCGTGAACCACGGCAAGGTGGAGACGCTGAACGGGGAGCTGGAAGTAGGCGGCAAGAAGAATGCGCAACCAGCAGACGAGTTCTCGCGCACGCTGCAGCTCGGCGACTTCCAGGCCATTTTCTGGAAGAACTTACGCGTCGGCCACGTAGTCAAAATCCACGACCAGGAACAGGTTCCAGCCGATATCGTCATCCTGTTTTCAAGCCAGGACAATGGCGAGGCAATGTGCGAGACCTCGAGTCTGGACGGGGAGTCGAATCTCAAAGTCCGCCACTGTGTAAAATGGAGCCAAATCGTGCCTCGGTCCCCGAAAGACTTTGCCGACACAATCCACGGCGAGATCCGATGCGAAGCTCCGAACAAACGACTGTACAGCTTCGACGGCGTGATGCGGATCTCCCATTCAAGGTTGCAGGTCGTCGGTGAGCCTCCAGCGCCGGCGGTGCAGTCACGACCGATAGAAGAAGTACAGACAAGTCAAGGCTCAACGCCAGCAGCGGAGGAAATCCCCATCACAATCGAGAACGTGCTCTTGCGTGGCATGAAGCTCTGCAACACCAAGTGGGTCGTGGGGGTTGTCGTCGGAGGCGGAAACGATACGAAGCTGGTGCAGAACATGAAGGCGATCCCCTCAAAGTTCAGTCGCCTGGATCGCATTGCCAATCGCTGCATCTTCCTCATCTTCTCGGTGCTCTTCGGCGTCTGCTGCTTCAGCTCCGTCCAGGCCGCGCTGTTCGCTATCAAAGTCCACAACAAGCCGAGCTACGCTGCGGCAGTCCCGTACATCGAAAAGTTCCACCCCGCGTACTTCCTCGAGGCGTGGGTCACGTATTTGATTCTGTACAACAACATGGTCCCGATCTCGCTTTACATCAGTCTCGAAGTGGTGAAGTGGTACCAAGCCAAGCGGATCGAGAACGACCCGAAGATGTATTGCTCGACCACGGGTCGTGGCGTGACGGCGCGCACGTCCAACGTGAACGAGGATCTGGGGCAGATCAAGTATATCTTCAGCGACAAGACGGGCACGCTGACCAAGAACCAAATGCTCTTCAAAGTGTGCAGCATTGGCGGCATCATCTTCGACGGGTCCAACATGCACCTTCGTCGAGCAGCTCAAGCTGGCAGTGACGATCTCTCTGGTGGCAGTGACATGATGATCAAGCTCGGATCATCCTCAGCCGTTCGAGGCGGAAGTGCCGGAAGAGACGGCAGTGCGGACGGAAGACGCAAGTCCAAGCACGTGTCGGTCACGGAAAAGGATGTGCGGTCGTATACGCAGATGATCAAGTTCGTGGAGAACCCGACCCGATTCTCTGGCAAAGAGGTGCATGCGGTTGAGCTGGCGCGACCATTCTTCCGGTGTCTGCTACTGTGTCACTCGGCTTCTGTTGCAGTGGAGGAGAGCGCGGCGTCTGCAGATCAGTCGGGAGACACTCGAAGCGCTACGGGACGTACTCGAAGTGAAAGCGCAGACGGGAGTATGCGAGCCGAAAGTCGACGTCAGAGTGGAGTCAATTCCTTTACCAGTAATCATGCAGCAGGGGAAGCTTCGGACGCTTTCCCCTCCCTCAAAGGAGACCGGAAGTTCTTTGGTTCCTCGCCTGATGAAGTCGCGTTACTCAACGCTGCGCTGGAATTCGACTGCGTCTATGAACGACGAGATGGTGACGTGATTCACATCCGGTTGTTCGGCAAGAGTGAGTCGTACCAGCTCCTGGCATTGAACGAGTTCGACAGCACGCGCAAGTGCATGTCCGTCGTCGTCAAGAAGCTGAACCGCGACGACTCGGACGGACGGCGTCAGGACTTGAAGCTCGCTCGTGTTCGCGACACTCTGGGGGATTTGGACCACGCCTTGGAGACTGATCTCGACGCGCTGAGTAGCGACTCCGAGTCGGAGGATCAAGATATCCTCGTCTTCTCAAAGGGAGCGGACACCGTCATGTTCGCCAACGCCTGCAAGGATCAGGACATCAGCAAGCTGGCTCTGCACGTCCACTACTTTGCCGCAATGGCGCTACGCACACTGTTGCTTGGTTATCGAACGCTGTCCATGGCGGAGTATCTCGAGTGGAAATGCGAGTTTGACGCAGCAAAGAAGGCGCTATCTAACCGCGAGCAACTGTGTGTGGGGGTCGCCAGGCAGATTGAAAAGTCGACCAGACTGCTGGGTGCTACTGGAGTCGAGGATCTGCTTCAGGACGGCGTACGCGAGTGTATTTCTCAATTGTCCCTCGGAGGTATCAATATCTGGATGCTCACAGGCGACAAGGACGAAACTGCGATCTCCGTAGCGCACATGTGCGGCCTCATCGGTCCCAAGAGCAAGATGATCATTATCAAGGGGAAGAATAAGCAAGACTGTCTCGATGAGATCGCTAAAGCTCGTCGGAAGCTGAAGAGGGAGGGCGTTTGGGTCCCTGGCGTCGCATCGCAGGACATTTCGCTGGTGATTAATGGCGAGGCACTCGAGCACCTGCTAGCAGACGCATTGACGTCAAGCACGATCAAAGCTCAATCGTCTTACGTCAGCTCAAACCAAGTGGCTCCACACTCGAGCAACACCAGCCACTCAGACCCGGCCTTCCACGCCAGCGCCACTATGGACATGCTACGAAGCGAGCGGGATGCACATGGAGGGCGCTTGAGCCGCTCGATGTCTTCAAAATCCATGGGAAATCTCCCTTTCCAAGCGGCTCAGATGGTGCAGAACTCGCGGCATCGCTCGAGTTCCAGGCCGGGAACAACTAGATCCTCGATAACGGAAACCAATGGCGGCGCACAATTGGCGCACGAATTGTTTCTCGAGCTTGCGTCTCAGTGCCGAACAGTGGTGGCCTGTCGGTTGAGCCCCATGCAGAAGGCCCAAGTGGTGAGCTTGATGAAGTCTGCACCTGGTACACCACTCACGTTGGCAGTGGGAGACGGTGGCAACGACGTGAGTATGATCCAAGAAGCTCACGTGGGTATCGGCATCTACGGACACGAAGGAATGCAGGCAGTACGCGCTGCCGACTTCGCTATCGTCACTTTTCGTGACTTATCGCGACTTTTGCTGGTGCACGGACGCTGGAATCACCGTCGAGTGGCGCGCGTCATTTTGTTCTCCTTCTACAAGAACATGGCGCTGATCATGACGCTCTTCCTCTTCTCCTTCTTCAACGGGTACTCAGGCCAAACCCTGTACGAGTCGTACTTGATGGTCGGGTGGAACGTGCTGTACACGATCCTGCCCATTTTCGTGCTTGGAATCACGGACGAGGACATTCGGGACAGCGCCGTCATGCGCTTCCCCTTCGTCTACCGCAGCTCTCTCAGACGGAGCGAGCTGAGCATACGCGGGCTGAGCTTTTGGGTCGTGAACGCGCTGTTCCACTCGCTGCTGGTGTTTGTTTTCGTTAAGAACGCGATGGGAATGGTCTCGTCAAGACACAGCCACGCCAACGGATTATTCCCTGATGGAACAGCAGTCTACGGCGCTCTCATCATCACTGTGACTCTCAAGGCGTCGCTGCACATGCAGTGCCTGCATCGCTGGACAAGGGCGCATTACATCTCCCTGTTCGGAGGCTTCGTCGTGTACATTTTGTTCGTCGCCGCGTACTCGCAGGCGTATCGGATGTTCCCCACGTTCGACGTGTTCCGCGATTTCTCTGGTCTCGCGCAGATCCTCTTCTCGGAGATGCTCTTCTGGGTGCTGCTCTTCTTCACGTCCGTGACCTGCATCTGCTTCGACTTGACCATCATGTACCTGAGGAAGATGTACTTGCCAACGAGCAACGACATTATCCTCGAGATCGACAGCGGACTGGGCGAGCTCCCTACGTTACCAGTTCGAAACGCTGATGGATCCGTCGACAATAGGGCGGCAAAGCTGATCTACAGCTCATCAGGCCGGTCGGACGAGGGGAGCTACGCAGGGATTGGTACGGGGATAGCGGCAGGGGGAAGCGCTCGATCGGAGAAGGGGGAGCTGGCGCCGTCACTCCTAGAGGGCGAGTGGAGTCAGCAGTTCCGCGACTTTGACCTCCCTACCGAGCACGACGAACTGTCCAAGCAGCTCGTGTCAATACAACGAGAGCTTGCTCAGGAGATCGGACACCCGGATCCTCTCAGCCAGGAAGACGACGCGCACAGCTCTCGGGCCCTACGCGTTCAGCCTCCCGTTCACCCGCTCACGCTCGAGTTTATGGGCGAAGAGCACCAACGCCTCGAAGAGGAGTACGAGTACACGTTCGCCTTCCGAGAGCGGAGCCGTGTGATCTTGTGCCTGAAGGTCATGGCGTTTATGATCCCGCTCTACGCAGTCTACGAAGTGCTCTGGGAGCGCGAGACTTCGTACATCTGGATCCGCGTGGGCTACTTCGTGTGCGACCTGCTCTTCATGCGCTTCGCCCGTACCAGGTTCTTCGTTCAAAACTACCAGCTCTCGATCCTGCTGCCGTACTCCATGATCGGCATGGCGCTTACGCTGACCATCTCCGACACGGGCAAGTTCGCTGCAGCGCTCTACCCCGTCGGTCTCTTCGTGGTCATCCGCGTCAAATTCCTTTACGCGCTGATGCTGTCGATCTACAACTTTGCCTTCTACATGCTGGCGGACAGACTCAACTCGCTCGACTACGAGAACGGCGTGGACGTGTCCGACCTCATGCTCTTCGCGCTTTACTTGGTGTTTGTCATCGCCTTCGGGTCCTACGCGTGCTACTCGCTCCAGATCACCATGCGACGCGATTTCCTGCAGAGCCGCTCGCTGCTCATCGAGCAGAAGCGGTCGACCCAGATCTTGAAGAACATGCTGCCGGAGCACGTCGTCCAGCGCATGCAGAAGGGCGACACTCTGATCAGCGAGGACGAGCAGGACGTGACGATTCTCTTCTGTGACATCGCCGACTTCGCCTCGTTCGTCAACCGCTTCAGCCCGACCGAGGTGGTCTCGCTCCTCGACCGGGTGTACTCACTCTTCGACCAAATCTGCCAGAAGCACGGCGTCCGCAAGATGGAGACGGTCGGCAAGACGTACATGGCGTGCGCTGGCTTGCAAGGCAAAGACCAAGGGAGAGAGGCAGCTCTACGTGCAGTGTCGATGGCATTGGACATGCTCTCGTGTCTTGAGAAGTGCCGAGCGTCTAATGGCAACGGCATCAAACTGCGCATCGGAGTTCACTCCGGTCGAGTTGTCAGTGGACTCGTGGGCATGAAGAAGCAGCAGTTCTCGCTCTTCGGTGATACCGTTAACACGGCATCTCGGATGCAGTCGACAGGTATCACGGGGCGCTGTCAAATCTCCCAAGTGACGTACAAGAAGCTCGTAGGGCATTTCAGCTTTGAAGAGCGCCAGATTGACGTGAAAGGCAAGGGTAGTATGACCACCTACCTGGTAGGCGACCCGCTGACGGATGTGGCCCAAATGGCGTGTCTCGGACAACTCGAGTTCAGCACCAAGCGCGACTCGGTTCTGATGTCGCAGTCGGTGATCAACGTGCGCCGCCCGTTTGAGCAGGACTTCTTGGTGGCGACCCGCAACCGGATCCTGCACTCGGCTAGGCAGCGATGGAAGAAGTACGACCCCATCCGCATGCTGCTCGGTACCCCACCCGATCTCGCTTCATTTGGGGGCACCGACACGAGCGAGAGCGTCGAGCAGCACATGCTGACGGAGATTCGGCTGCTGAATATGTGCTTCCGAGACGAGGAGATGGAGAACAAGTACCTCGAGAATACTCTGTCTGACCGAGTGGAGGGTGCACGCACTACGCTGCTCGCTCTGGCAGTGTACGCGTCGTTCACCTGCATGCGCGATCTGCTGGTGGAAATCTTCTCGGTGCTCAGCTCGGACGCCCCGCAGAAGGAGATCTCGGCCACGATGTACGTCATTTTGCTATTCATTCGCAGTCCGTTCGCCATTGTGGCGATACTCGTGGCGCGTCGCGTGCGAGACGAGTTCGTCTTCTACTCGGAAGTGAAGCTCCGCAACGTGCTGCTTGGGTTCTACCTCATCGGGTTGTTCGTGTTCACCCTCGCTGAGGCGCTACTATGGGGTTTGAATTATAAGGCCGACATCGACACCTCGCCGAGATACGTGAACTTGTGTCTGGACACGGTGCTGGCAATGTTCGTCGTCTCCAATGGGCGATCGATCCTGTACCGCCACGTCGTGGTGTTCAACGTCTTGGCGCTGGTGATGGTGTCCATCACCACGCTGGTCTCGCTGCAGGCGTATCACCAGGACGCAGCCAAGTTCAACTCCAAGTTCAAGACGAGCTACCCGATTGTCCTCACGTACTTCTCGGTGGTGGCCAACATCATCGCGTCACAGAGCGTCGAGTTTTTCACGAGGCGGCAGATCTGGCTCAAGACCCGGACGCAGCTTGAGACGATGAACGCCGACCGACTGCTGTACCAAATGCTCCCGGCCGCTGTGGTTATGAGGCTCAAAGAGGGCGAAATGGTCTGCGACCAGCACCAGCAAGTGGGCATCCTCTTCTCGGACATCAAGGGCTTCACGTCCATTGCGTCGCAAGCTGCCACCGCCCAGGTCGTCAACATCCTCGCGTCGTTGTTTTGCGCCTTCGACAAGCTCACTGAGAAGCACGGAGTGTTCAAGATGCAGACAATCGGGGACGCGTACGTGATCGTGTCGGGTCTGCCCTACGTCGATATGAGTCTGGGTCCCGGACTAGTGACAAGCTCCGCCAGCACCGCCGACATGTCGAACGCAGACGCCAGCATGTCCGTCGCGCCGGCTGGTAGTACTGGCATTCCGGCGGGTATCGCGTCGACATTAGCTCGACTGTCTAGCAACCGCGTGCTCCCGTTAGAGCGGAAGAGCGAGATCATTGGAAATGACGGCAATCCTCGAGGCTCAGGAGCCAAACTCCGGTCGCATTTACTGCGCAGAAGCACGCTGAAGCACAAACACCAAATGCATCTTCGCAACCACATCCACGACCTGCTGGCCATGGCGCGGGACATGCACAAGGAGGTGCGCAAGGTGCAGGACCCGAACACGGGCGAGCGACTGCAGATGCGCATCGGAATCCACGTCGGCAACATCATCGGCGGCGTGATCGGCACCACGACACTGCGCTACGATATGTGGGGGCCGGATGCTCTCACGGCCAACGAACTCGAGTCGAACGGCGTCCCCGAGAAGATCCTGGTGAGCCCCATCGTCCAGGAGGTGGTCAAGGACATGATCGACATCCGCTGCACGTTCCACCGCAAGATCAACTTCACCAACACGCCCATGATGGACACGTATCTCGTCGAGTTCATCGAGCCTGACGGCAGTGGGGGTAAGGGCGGCACGGCAGGCAGCGGCGGCAGGATAAACAGCGGCAAGCAGCTGAACGAGCCCATTCGACCCGGGTCCGTATGCTCTGACGATAGCAAGAATCATGCTGGTGCGGGCTCAGAGCCTACGTGAAGTAACATAGTTCTCTAATCTTTATTAACAACAAGCATTTTGCCAGTCAAAAAAATAATACTTCTTAATGCAAGTTGAAGTTGACTTCAACGGAGACTTTCGTGTGCGCTACATGACTTTCTATGGCAATCTTCGAGCAGTAGCACTTCGCTACATGTACGATGTCCACTGCGCATTCGGAGGCTGCGCTTGCCGTCTTGACTGGCATCGGGCTACTGCAGCACATCACGAGCTTCCAGGATGGCTTACCTTACGTGGTAGGCCAAATGGATGTCAGTCTTAAGAGTTTCACGAAACTCGGGAGCTTCCGTGGGAAGCTGCCTCAATTCGCCATCCGCCGACGCGACCAGAAGATGCTGGAGCTGCTGCTCAGAGCCACGCAGAACCCGAACCTGCAGAAGCTGCCGCAGATGCAGTTCAGCGGCGTGCGTCGTTGCGCCATCGAGTACAACAGCTTACAGCTTTTGAAATGGCTACACGCCACGCGTAACAAGTCTCCGACCCTTTCGGGTGAGCCGAGGCTGCTTGGTGTAGCGGTGACCAGCTACTTCGACAACGTCGAGATAATGGAGTGGCTGTGCAATGCACCGGACGGTCCGCGTGAGTCGGTTCAGGCGGTCACGGAGGTCGAAGTTTGTCGTGCAGCGGGGCTGGGCAACGTTCGAGCCATTCGCTGGCTGCATGAGCATGGCAGTACGGCATTCTCGCTGCTAGTGATGGACACGGCCGCAATGCACGGACATTTGGAGATTGTGAGGCTTTTGCATGAGAACCGACGAGAAGGATGCACGACGCGCGCTGAACGGGTACCATGAGGTGGTGACGTATCTCGCCAAGAATCAACTCACACGTCCAGACGAATGCACAGTGTGCATTGCACACTAACGCTGTGTCGGTCGAAGCTCTTTGCCAGTATGCGCAGCCACCGCTTGGTAGCGGGGTATGGCAAGTTGCGGAGGCACAACAGTGCGCACCGGTGGCAGGCCACAAGGCCTCGCACATCAGAAAGAAACACTTGCTGTCAATCAACGGAAAACTAACGAGAACAAGCGGAGCTGGTTCGGATTCTTTTGAGGCGTGAATATTTACATGCACTATCGAAATTTACATCAGTAAGTTGTGTTGTTACAGCCATCGGAACCACCAAAGCCATCCCGAACGCTTCTCTGTGCTCGAAGACTTCTCTATTTTCACTGTGGTGGAGGCCTTAATCGGTGATGTTTCGATCCGCTTGGCCATTTGTGGCGGTCGCTGGCACCACCTAGGGCCAGAACGCACGTGGTAGTATTGCGATGAACAGGAACGGACTTCCGGGTTCATCCACGCTGATAACAACGCCGCTACGCGAGGATGGCCAGCTTGAAGAGCGACACGGCGAGCTTCAAAGAGGCATCCACGAATCGAGCAGCGAATCAACGCGTCTACACACTCGGCGTGTCCCTGCGCGGCTGTACGCTCGAGAGCGTACTCGTGTGGGCCCTCATGCCGGTGCTCCCCAAGAAATAGCACCACTTCTGTGTGTCCATTGATAGCTGCGTTGGTCATAGCGTCCTTTGTGCAGCCTTCGACGCGGTTTTCCTGTAAAAACTGCACGATTTCCAGGTGACCACCACTTGCCGCGTTGTCCATGGCTGCGGTCGAGCACGTTGCCGTTCGTTGCTCATGGAGGAACTGCACAATCTCCAGGTATCCGTTTTGGCAGGCAGTATCAATTGCTTTCGAGGAGCAGCCTTCCGAGCGATGGGTCATCAGGTACTTTACAACGTCGAGGTGGCCTCTCCACGCAGCGCCATCAACTGCTCTCGTGGTGCATCCTTCGTGTCGGTTATCATGTAGGAACTTGATAACTGGAAGACGGCCAACCAGTGCAGCACCATCCATCGCATCAGTAGTGCAGCCTTCCGTGCGATGTGTATGCAGGAACTTCACCACCTCCAAATGGCCGCTGCGGGCCGCTCCATTCATAGCTTTCGTCGTACAGCCCTCACTGCGCTGTTCATGCAAGAAGCGCACCACGTCCAGAAACCCACCACCGGCAGCGCCGTCCATCGCAGCCGCCGTACACCCCTCTGTCCGGTTGGTATGCAAAAACTTCACCATCTCAAGGTGTCCGTTGCGCGCAGCTCCATCCATAGCCGCCACCGTGCAGCCCTCCTTCCTCTCCGAATGCAAGAACTGCACCACCTCCATGTGTCCATTCCGTGCCGCACCGTCCATCGCCGCAACGGTGCAGCCCTCCGTCCTCTGGGTATGCAGATACCACACAATCTCCAAATGCCCATTGGCCGCCGCTCCATCCATCGCGTCCGACGTGCATTTCACCCGTCTCCCTTCCTCCCTCGGTTCCAACAAGAACGTCAGCGTCTCCATCTTCCCCATCGTAGCCACCAAGTCCACCAACCGCGGGTCTTCAAACCCACTCGTGGCCAGCCTCCGTTCCTTCAGAAACCGCAACACTGGGATCCCCGCGCGACTCAAATCCTCGGCCTTCACGTCTCTCAGCGCCGACCGCGAGTACTTGTCCGCCACCCACTGCACGATCTCCAGCTTCAGCGGCGACTTCAACGCCTCCGAGTACCTGACGGCCCACCCCATCAGCGTTCCCCCCACCGTTCTACTAGTTAGGTTCTCCCCGCTATTGTCGTCTCCGAGCAGCATCCCCGTGTCGCCCAAGTACTCGAGAACCGCCAATTGGCCGAACTGGATGGCGCAGCGCGTGGCCCCGTCGAACGCCAGCTCCGGCCGCGCCTGGAAGCGCTTGGTGGTCGACAGCCTCCTCAGGTGGCGCAGCGTTTCCACGTCCCCGTGCTGGATGGCGGAGCGGGGCAGCGCACCAGTGGCGGACCAGGGGACGCCGCGGTGCGCGCGTTCGAAGTCCGTCACCAGCGCCACGACGAAGCCCGGCACGCCGTCCACGAAGTCCATGACGAGGCGGAACAGCGACCGGTTGGTCAGCACCAGCGTCGCCGCGGGCGGCGGAGGAGAAGGAGGCGCCAAAGCAGCAGCAGGAGGCGCCATTGAGCTGCTCGGCTTGATGATGAAATGGCTGCGCCGATATTGAAACCAAATATAGGGGAGGGGGTTCAAGGTGACACGAGCTATAGTAAAACTTCAAACTAATCAAAAGTGTTTGCTGCAGACGGGCACGCGATCCTCATTCTCGAAGCTCCACAAAAGCAAGGGCCCATTGGGGGAGCTTAACTTCCGAGATCTGACAACGAGTCGCAAGTGAGCGCAGAGCTCGGCCGATTCCTACCACTTTCACTGTAGCCGGCAAATCGGAACTTTTGCTGTTCGAGTAAGGAATATTGTCTATCGCTGTGAAAACTCGGACACGAGCGCTGTGAGAGGTTTCACATGACCGACTGATGATCAGTCTGATCGTCTGTCTTGGTTGCTATAACTCACAGCCTGTGAGACCAGCAGCTGTGGCGGCACTTGGAACTGTGCCGAGCTGCACTAGACAACAGCTATTATAAATGCGAACAAACCGCTTCGCTTCCGCCGGCCTAACACCGCTGCAATATATTATAGCGCCCGACGGCGGCAACTGCATGGAGGACGTCGGTAGATTGTTGAACGCCTCGCCTCGGGGCTCATAATCACCTCAGCTAGCCCTTCTGCGACATGCAGTCCGAGTATCCGGCAGGAATTCATAGTATGAGCAAAAATAGCAATGTAATATGTATTAATTAATATATCATTAATAATGACATAACTGTATAAATAATAATAGTATAATAAATACCGATAGATTTGTATCGATATTCATGCGATATTAACCCCAGTCGCCCTTCTCATCAATTCATTTCCGTTCGATATAATATTTTGGTAGCATGCTTACTAAACATCATACTTTACATTAGATTTGCGTTGGACACTTGATGACACTTGGGGTGGTAAGCGAGGCGCCCCAAAATTCGTCCTTCCGTTTGTCCTAGGATCTCTGAACGAGACACCCGACCATTAAGTCGGTTTTGTCCTATCGCTAGGACAAAAGGTTCTTAGCCAATTTTGCATCAGCTTACCGCTGCTTCACTACTTGATCGCAGCCAGACGGCCTGAACGACGGCGTGGCTGAGGCGTCAAACTTGTTAACTTGACGCTCATTGGGCTCGATCGAGTTGTGAGGTCTTTTTCGAGACGGGGGTGGAGGACGAATGTTTTGTTTTTGTTTTGGCATTGAGGTACATTGTTGTCACATAACTTCGTGGCTAACGACATCGATGACCTTGACGGAGGTCGTCTCTAACCGATCTCCCTGCTTTATTACCACACACTCAGGGCTGCCCCCAACCGTTAAGGTGTGAAGGCCCCGAACCCCGAAGCGTTCTCATCGCTGATGTGCTCCGGCCAGTGCCCCACGTCACTGGCTGCGTAGGCATGAAGATTTTCCCAGATCGAGTCGGAGCCGATGACTCGAGTGAGTTTACATTGCATGCTACGCCGTGTATTCATCGCCAGGTTGGCGAGCGCATCGGCCATCTTGTTGAAATCGCGTATGTGATGCTGCCAGCTGATCACCGAGAGTTGATCCGCAACCCGCCAACTTTGCCAGTATAGCTGAGTGAGGTGTTTAGCCTTTGGTGGTCGCCGCTTCTGCTGCTGATGGATGATAATTTTGCTATCCCCATCCACGTGGAGTGGTCTCCAATTGTGGCGATGACAGCCTTTAACCCCATAAGCAGCCCCATGTTCTCTGCAATGTTGTTCGTTGTGGAAGGTGCAAGTGGAGGACGAATGTGCGCGGCTCGTGTTTCAGATCCCTGCTTACATGGATCCGGGAGCTTAGCGTCCGCATGAAATACGTCGAAGCAGGATCGCCCATCCCAGCGTTTAATGTTGCAAAGAGGGACTTTGCACACATTGCAGTCGTGCCTTGTCTTGTTTCTATGCCGCGTGTGAGCTGAATTCAGCATTGCGTAAATAAAAATTGCAATAAAACTATTGATAAAATTGGGGTCAACAATTACAATTAGAAAATTGGCTGCAATGATTTTATAGTATTGAACAAGACAGTTGACTTGATAACTGTATGTGCGTGGGTTTGCCATATTTAGCGTCTAAAAATGGTCGGCAAAATAACTGCAAAGCACAATATTAATTTAATTATAATAGTAATCGGCGTACTAGTACTATAATATATCATAGGATGTCATCGATTATTCCTGTAGTACAATAGACCAAGATCTGCGCTAACACGAGCCCCAGGGTGAACAGTATCCGGTATGTTGCTCAAAGCTCAACAGAATCAGTTGTTGTGGGTGACATACGGCGACTTGCCATCGGGAACGGCGACAGATGTGGCCAGCGGCACCACAGTTGCAATCGCCCACCGCCAGCGCCGCAGCCACCGAGAGCACGCCGCTTCGCTCCGCCGCCGCCGCCATGGACGCCAGCCTCATGGCCAACGAGGTGTCGTCGCTCAGCGGCTACCGCAGCCCGACGCAGCTGCCCGCGCACGAGGAGGAGCCCCCGATGCTGGCGCCCGAGGTCCAGGACGGCCCCGAGCAGTTCGACTTCCATCAGTGCGTCCGCCCGTCAGTTGATGCATCGCCCATACGACCCACAGGTTCTAACTGCAGGCTGTGTGCAGGTCGTTCGGGATCATGACGGGCCGCCGCCTGCAGCGCCGCTACCGGGGCGTGTACCAGAAGTACTCGTTCGTGACGCAGCTCGTGACGTGGATCATCGTCGTCTACATCATCGTGGTGTTTGCCGTGCTCGCCGCCAAGAATTCAGGTAACTTGCGACCTGTTAACTGCAAATATTGGGAATTATTGCTGATTACATTTTTTTATTGAATTCTGCAGCTACCACGGACGCGCAGGCGTCGGTGTCGGACGGAGCCTTCTACTTTGCCATCATTGTGCTGGCCCTGTACATCCTCGTGAAGCTGGCACTGATCGTGCGCTGGATCATTTACTGGATCATCATCGCTGAGCTGCTGACGTACGCAATCACGAGCAATCTGTACGTGCTCTTCTGGATCGACGACAATGAAGTTACGGACACGGACCGCCAAGTGCGCCGCGTGATGATCATCGTGCTCATTTCAGTCGAGATCATCACGGTGTTCGCCTACTGGTTCACGCACTACGCGTATCCGTGGCTGGTACTTCACCAGAAGCTGAACCTGGTGGAGTGGTGGAACGTCAAGCCTGGAGTGGAGACCAATTCCATCACGTACCGCTCGAAGGCACGCTTCTACTCGCGTAAACGCAACGTGGTCAAGTACTGCGGCGGATTGAACGCTCAGGGCCAGCCTCATGGCTTCGGCATGTGGACGGACACGGCGTACCATGGTGAACGCCTGACGGGTCAGTGGGAAGACGGCGTTCCTGTGGGTCCGTTCCGCAGTTTCGAGTACGGAAGTGGCTACTCGTTTGTGAACATTCGTATCGGGTTTTGTCACAACCGTGGCGAGAAGGGTCCGACGGAGATTTTTTTCTTCCCGAAGCACTCGGACAACGGCTTGAACTGGGGTGTCGCCAGTGTGGAGTGCTCTGTGTCAGGCGGCTTCTTCAAATACTTGCCTACAGTGACGCACTTGACGCCTTCGTACGTGGATGAGAGCCCCCAGAGCGCAGCGGAATGCCTCCCAGCGCTACGCACTCCGACCGATGGCGTTGTTTTCAACCACAAGGAGGAAGAGGAAGCTATGCACGGGAAGCCGCGACGCGATCGTGTTAGGAGGAGGCACCTGTACCGGGAAGAATCTGCTCCTGTCCTCGATCTTCCTAGCACCGATGCCGACGATGGAAAGGAGGCGCTGGTATTGCTGCACGGCTACAACTGTTCTCTGGACTACGGCATGAACCGTCTAGCACAACTGCTTGCACTTGGAGACTTCCCCTCGTACATTCATCCGTATGTATTCAGCTGGCCTAGTGGTGGCGTGCTCGCTTATTTCCAAGGTGAGTGCTCAATTTGCGCAACTTCATGGATTGAGAGCTAACCCCACCGTTGTTTTTACTTATTGCAGCGAAAGAGGTCGGCAGTGAAAGTGAGCGCACAGCGGACGACTTCATCCTGTTTTTGAAGAGCCTGATTGATGCGGGATACACGAAGCTGAACATTATCGCACACTCGATGGGAGCACGCGTTTTCTTCAGCAGTCTCAACAAGGGTCTTTTCGACGAGGTGTTTTGGGTAAGTAACCTCACACGTGGCTACATCTGGAAGCTATCTAACGCATTTGCCTTGTGCTTCAGCCTACGGGGAGCCACACGAACATGGGAAATGCAACTAGAAAACTGGAGCTGTCTACGCTTACGTTCTGCAACCCGGACTATGATCGCAACGATTTTGTCAAATACGGCGGGGGATACGACCGCGCGCGGCGCTTCTGCAGCCACATCACGCTGTACGCGGACAGCATGGACGGCGCGCTGTTTTACCTGGAGTATCTGTCCAAGAAGTCGGTCACGGGTCCGCTGAACTACTCACTGGGTCGGCGCGGACACATGATCCATCGCGACCCCGAGGAGAACGACGTGGCTGGACGGTCCGACACGCAGTTCCTCACCTGGCAGAACAAGAACCTGGCCGCACCGCAAGATTTGGACCTGGCGTACGCTGCGGTGAACCAGCGCGCCAACTACCCGGGCGTGGCTGCGTTCGCGTACAACCGCAGCCGGACGCACCCCACCAACGACGAGTCGGCTCCTTACGGCACAACGCGAGGCGGTGAGATGGATGAAGACGCGCCGCTGCACTACCTGGACATGGACGTGATCGACACGACCTGGATGGACAACAACGTGCACGCGATCCGCCACAACTACTTCAACCTCAACCCAACGATCGTGAGCCCCTGCCGCGATATACTTACTTCCTCTCAAGTGACTGCCGTTGGTATCTAACTAATACCTGTCGTTCATTGTGCCCTGTAGGTGGACGACCTCCGCCACTTGATCGTGCTCAAGAAGCGAGCGAGCGCCCGCCCCGGCCTGCTCAAGACCACGTCGGCCGAGAACGTCTACATCTTCCTCGTGGCGCCGTCTCACGTCAAGAACAAGTAAAATCCGCGTTAACTGGCGAAATAGGTACACTGTAACACGAAAAAGCGTCCTCCAGTGTCCACTTCAATGGCACAAACCGACAAAATGTGCGTACATTTTTGTGCGTATAGTTTCGTACTTAGCGCACACTGATCCCCGATCGAAGAGCCAAAACGTGAGTCCGCGGCCGGTGTCGCTTCAAGCAGCTCGAGGAGCGATCGGCGCCGCCTCTGCTGCGCTCCCCACGAGTTCTGTACAGGCTCTCTCTGTTGCAGCACCTCCCCACGCATTTACCGCATCAGTCGCAGCGTTTTGCACTCTCTAATTCGCTCTGTAGGCTCCAGAATCTGCATTCTCCAGCCCCGGGTATTCCGTCCTCATGGTGCGCAAAACCGCGTCCTGGAGGACACTAGTGGACACCAAGAGCGTCCGCCAGCAGCACCGAGCGTCCGGGAAGGACGTGGTTGTTCCCCTCGTGCTCTGGAACGAGCCGCCGCAGGTGGAAGTGTCCTCCTTGCACGTCCTCCAACTGCCGGCGTCGCAGCCGAGCCAGAACTCGTCCACGTTGGTCACCGAGGAGAACAGAGAGGTGAACAATGAGGAGGAGGACACTCTGGAGGACACTCGCACCCAGCTGTGCGTCTTCGCCGGCACGCTGGACGGCGTCGTGCTCTACTGGCGCTTCGAGCAGGACGGCTCCGTGGCGCAGGTCAACATGCTGCTCTTCCCGGGCAGCGAGGGCTGCGGCCAGCCCGTCGTGGGGGTCGTCAGTGGCACGGACGAGTGGGGGCAGAGCACGCTCATCTCAGCCACGCGCGACGGCGCGCTCGCTCGCTGGCAGCTCCCCAACGGCGCCTGTGCCGAGGCCAACGCGTCGCTGGCCAAGGAGCTGGCGCCGCTGCTGGGGCTCGAGATGCTGTGCAACAGGAGGTTCGCGGTCGTGGTAAGCGAGGAGTCGAGGCTCATGGTGCTGGATACGTGGCGGATGCAGCTGCTGTACTGTATGGACACTGCGCAGGAGCAGATTCGACGCAGCATCGCAGTGGGCGAGCTGCAGATGCCACGACCCAGATCGCCGAGGCCGAAGCTGGTTAGATCAAGCAGTGGATCAGGGATCGACACAGGGTATGGACCGACAACTGAGCTGGTGCTTGATCACCCACTGATCAGCGGACGGATATCTCCCTCCAGGTCGTCGCTAGCTGGTGGATCGCCGGAATCGAGGCGAGCTGCTACCTTTCTGCCGTCGAATACTGTAGAGCAGCATCAGCAGCGGTGGGATGCGATGGTGCTTTCTCTGGGGGCTGAGGGACTAGTGAAGTGCTTTTTGTGGACGCAGCCCCGAGGATCAACTAGTGGAACGCCATTCGGCGTAAGTGAGGGCGGTGGATCAGCCAGTGTGGCGTGGGGATTTCGGTGGGTGCAGCGGAGCAGTTGGGTCATTTCGTGGGCTGATCAGGCAGAAGACATCACCTGCTCGCAAAGTACGTCGCTGAAAGATGGGGATAATATGAACCCGCAGACGGCGCTCATGGGGTCGATCAAGAGCAGCTACTTCCCGCTGTCAGTGCACGTGTCGCCAGACTCGTCGCTCGTGCTTCTCATTTGGAAGACCAAGTTTGTAATACTCAAGCGGAAATGGCTGTGTCCGTTAGAGATACGCAGTGACGGCCAGCCAAGCAATGAATCTTTTTCGAAGACGAGACCAAACACAGGCGTCGGAAGTTGCCGAATCTCGCCGGTGGAGTTTGTGCGCCAGGCAGCAACGACCTACGGCAGCAAATATCTCACTTCCTGCAGCACTGGTGTCGGTTGCGGAGCGGTACATTGGGAGAACGGCGAGTTTCTGGAAGACGGGAATGTCATTTTGTGGACCAACACGGGCCATGTTTTCCAGTTCATGACGAGTGAATCGTCCACGGAAACGGCTGGCAAGTTTTTCATATTTACGAAGGACCAAGACCAGTTAGTACCGCGTTCCGATTCGAAGGCTCTGCGTATTATTGACAAGGCGATGTACATCACCTCAATGGATCGATGCAAGTGCTGCGATCTCCTGGTGCACAAGGACAGCTGCTTGCAGACGAAGCCCCGTCGTTCAAGTATTTCTCGACCAGGGCGAAGGCAGCAAGCTGGGTTCACGTCATGTATCAAGACATCGTCATCACTTTCTGGGGCCGCGCTGCATGTCGTGCACATGTGCCATCGTGGGTCACTAGGACTTTGGACAATGCCGGCTGTGCGAGTGCCTTCCCCGACTCGAATGAGCCAAAACAAGGGAAATCTTGTCGCACCAAGAGTGCCACCGTCGGAACGAGTGCGGTTTCATTCTCTTACTGACGGATTTGAAGCTGCGGAGACAGCGGCTCTGGGCGACGCCACTAGAGATACTAGAGATGAAGCGCGTTCAATGCCACAGAATCGAGGGTGCCTGACGCACCTGATTCTTGGACGGGATGACACTCAGTCGTCTTCAACCTACGAAGTGGTTCGACGAGCTGGATTGCGTCGGAAACGGCGGCAAGAACTTAATGACGCATTGGCAAGATCGGGAGGAGGCGGAGCATCAATTACGAGTACTGCAAGCAGTGTGCTTGTCACTGCATTGGCACCTGTTACAGGGCGTGGTGGTGCTCCGGGTACTGCTGGTGAAGCTACTCAGCCTGAGGCAGGTGAAAGTGCGCAAGGAAAATCAGAGCTGGCAGGTTATCGCTACTTATTGGATATCCCGATCGTCGCTAAAGGGTACTCGGATGGACTCCTTTGCATTGGGTTGCTGACCCAGGAGCATTTACCGAATGGAGCGGCCAAGGATTCAGATTCGCGACTATCCTGCCATTCGGGGCGAGTCACTGCGCTCGCTCATTGCTTCTGGGGCTTTGGAGCTACCAAAACGGCTGAAGCTTCGTCTGCAGATGCAAGCGCCCAGGATGTGAATTTTGCAACGGATGATAATCCTTTCTACAGGTCGCGCTTTCCTGACTCCTCCCCGAAGAAAAGTACTGGATTCAGCAATGATGGTCGAGTTGATCGCAATGCGTCAGAATCCAATGAGTCGCTGGGCACAGAGACCACTGGTACTTCTCAGCCTTCTATCAGATTTATGGTGTTTAGCGGAGGAACAGACGGCGTTCTGCGCGTGATCGAGCTTGTGCTTTATCGCTCTGCAACTGCAGATGCACTGGTTCACCACGAGGCGAAGATACTACAAAGGTTTCGGAACCACCGAGGTGCCATCCAGCAGATCAGTATATCTCCAACCAGGACAAGTGGCGCTACTGGTGATGGGAGAGATTGGGACTCTATCTACCCCGACAGACTGGTTGCAACCGTTGGAATCGACAACAAAGTTGTAATCTATGCACCCAAGTATACCCGTCACCCATCCACTGGAACTCCCTTTGGTCACTGTGGTGTTAAGTGGGAATGCGTGCTGGAACTGGCAGAACATGGTGATAGAATCTGCACTCTCGATTGGCATCTGGAGCGTGGCTTGCTTTACGTGGAGTGCGATGATCGTATGGTGTATGTTTGGAGCACTGACACTGGAATTCTCGAGCGAACGATGCCTTGTGCGCTACTGTACGGAGGTGGAAATGCGTCCGGTGACCGAGGTGCTGAAGCTTCGAGCTCTGCTGGTTGCTCTCTTGTCGAGAATTCCACTCTATTTATTGGCAACTCGGTCGTGCAACTTATCGAGTTCGGTGTGCTTCGAAGCGCGGAGCAGATGAAGAAGAACTGGAGCAGCTACTACTCTTCTGCAACGGCCAATTCTGTCGACAGCCTGCAAGCTGCACCAGCCTCCGTGTACATGACGTGCTCAATGGAGTTGTTCATGCTCTCCCTGTTGCTGTCATGGGGCGCTACGCCTGCTATTGATCAATCGTGCCGAGACATTTTGGGGATTGAACCAGCCCATGCGCTGTACTCTTGCGCTCTGCAAGACTTTGTTTCCGGGGCGCTAACTATTCCAATCCCGTGGGCTACGCCGATTGTATCGCCGTTGGTTGCCGGTGAATCCTCAGGAAGTGAGCCAGTCGTGCCTGCTTTTGCCCGTAATTGGCAGCACTCGTCTGCGCTATCAGCGAGCATCGCACTTGGTGTGGTCTCACTTTGCATGAGTTGCATGGAATACAAATACCCGAGGCCCGGGCTTGGGAGCACGTCTCCGGTAAACAAGGAAGAGTTTCAAGTTCTCTGGAGCCAGCTCATCACGCAGCACTCGGTCGTACTTCCCGAGTGCGTGGCCCAATTCCGGGAACCAGCTCTAGAAGAGCTAGCTGCATTCGGCTTCGACTCCTGCGAGTACACGCAGCTGGCAGCACGTACGCTGTTGAGTGGTGTGATTAAACGTCTTCCTCCGACCGAACGAAGCATCTTGTCAGCGGAGTATTCAGCGAAACTGCATTGGGAAATGGTGCGCTTGGAAACGGAGACTGGCAGCTCGTTCCTCGGGACAGTGGGTGGCGTTGGGGCCAGTGGCGGCTCAAGCACTACGTCTCAAGCGAGTAACAGTGGTGCTACAGGTGCAAGCGGCAATAGCTCCAGTGCTGGCAATGAATTAAGCGTCATGTCGTTCTCTTTGGTGGTGGAGCGACTGGGCTCACTCGTACTATTGATGAGCATGATCGGGACGTATTTCCCTGGCGAAATTTCGCCGGCGGGAGCGCGCGAAGTGTGTGACGTGTTGGTGTACTTGCTGAAGGCGCCAGAGAGGTTCGTGGCGTCCGTGTCTGCAGAGCTGTTGACGAAGGGCTTGATGCTGTTTAGGCCGCATCTTGTGGACTTGTCGTCGCTGATCATCCAGCTCCTGCTGATCGACATGCGCGAGAAGTTGCGCAGTGCAGGCGACGAGGAAGTTCCGATTGGTCCGGGTGGTTCTCTCGCCAACTTCAACGAGGGTGGGACCGGCGGAAGCAATGCGGCGATGAGTTTACTGGTCGAAGTTGGCGCATGCGAGTCGGCGTTCGTACTGGGTCTGCTACAGCAGGAGATGCACAACCACGACCGTCCTGCCGGCTTCCACGAGAGCATCCTGCTCTACATGATGGAGCTCATCAACACGCACTACCTGCTCATGTGTCGCCACCTCCCGGCCTTCGTGGACACGATCATGGCGTGCTTGGACCCGACGAAGCCCGAGCGTCGACGACGCTGCCTGCCACTAAGCACTCGATGCCTGCACAGCTTGGTACGCCGATTCCCGATGGTCGACTTCCACAAGGAGACGCAGCGCTTGGCTCTGGGCACGATGGAGGCGGTGATCGTCATCTATGACCTGCGCACGGCGACCAAGTGGCGCGTGCTGGACGGCCACGCGTCGGCCGTCTCGGCCGTTCGGTTCCGGTCCGACGGCCAAGTTCTCGTGTCGTACGCCGCCCGCGACGGCAGCGTGCGGTGGTGGAACAGCGGCAACGCCGGGCTGTTCGGCGGCATGCTCAAGATGCACCAGTCCTGCCTCAAGGAGCACAAGCTGGCGGCGCTCAAGGTGAGCGCCAACGGCGGAGCGCCAGCGTCCACGGGTGGGGCCAGCGCCGGCCTCAAGCAGATCATCCAGACGTGCCGCTTCCACTTCCTCACGCGCAAGGACAGCCCCGGAGACGGCACCGGCAACAGTGGCCACTCGGACCAGCCCAAGCACATCCTGCGGCTCACGAGAGAAGACGCCAGCCAAGTGCAGTTCCTGCTCTAAGGTCCAGCACACACAGCGCATAAGTATCTCTAAACAACAAAGGCAACTTGACCTGACCTGACAACCACTTCAACTTCTGCTAAAATGATCCGACAAAAATGACTTTCGGAGGTCGGCCGATACCTGATTGGTTAAAAGAGATACGAACCAATAGGATCGCGTAAAACCACACGGAAGCGTCTGCGAATGTTGCATCGCGTCTTGAGCTCCTCGAGCGGCCGCCGACTCAGAACGCAATCGTCGCGACTGCTTCAGTGATGGCGCCGCACCGAGAGGAAGCCGCCGTCAAGGGCTCGGCCCACCGCGACGCGGACGAGGAGGCGCTGCAGGCGGCGCTGCAAGAGTCCCTCGAGTAAGCTCTCGCCCTGTCGCCTGGCAATCTCCAGCTCGTACTAACAACACCTCTGATCTCTCTCTCTCTCTCTCTCTCTCTCTCTCTCTCTCTCTCTCGTAGGCCCGACTTTATGGCCGAAATCCTGCAGTCGGAGGACCAGCAGCGACGTCAGGAGGCCGCGCGCGTCCAGTTGAGTCGGATGCGGCTCGAAAGCACACCATCTGTGCGTCAAACGGAGGAGGACGACAGCGCGGACGACGACGAAGACGATGAACCCTTTGTGCGCGTCTCCAGCGCTCTGGAAGTGGCGCTGAAGGCCCCGGAAGATGCCGCAGAAGCAGAAGAGGAGGAGGGGGAAGAGGAGGAGGACCCCAATGAGGACCACAAGCTGCTCAACTTCGCCGACATCCTGCTCATCGACATCCTCAAGTGGCTGGACGAAGACACCATCGGCGCCTGCGTCTGCACGTGCAAGCGGCTGCTGCAGGTGGCGCGCTCCGAGGTGCTGTTCGAGGCGCTGTGCCGCCGCATCTTCCCCGTGCAGAACCCCAGAGCAGCCGCCGCTGCCGCGCGCAACAAGTTCGGGCTGCGGCGCTTCCCGACCTGGTTCGCCATGTTCCACGACCGCCCGCGCGTGCGCTACAACGGCTTCTACTGGCTGAAAGTGTCGTACTACAAGAAGCCCGAGCTCAGCATGTGGACGGACATCGTGCCCGGCACGATCCTCAAGTGTATCTACTACCGCTACTTCTCCTTCCAGCGGGACGGCACCGTGCTGTACGGCATGCTGTTCAAGCCGCCGCACGAGGTGGAGTCGCACATCCGCAACGAGCGCAAGGGCGTCTACCGAGGGCAGTTCTACGTGGACAGGGACGAGCTCGTGGTCTCGGTGCCCACCAACTGCAACGAAGTCAACTTCCGCCTGAGGATCACGCAGCGAGAGCGCGGCAAGAACGTCAAGTTGATCCTCAAGGAGCACTTCGCCAACTCGGAGCCCGACGGCAGCGGCTGGATCAACTACTACGACACAGCGGACGAGGAGTTCTACTACTACCGATCGTGGAACCTGTGACGCGGCTACAGTATGATATGTGGGAGTTTGAATGGGACGCCTGCGTCACAGACCCTGTTGCGAAGCTTATATGTGTGAATATGAAAATAACGGCTTGTTTCTGCTGTTGAAGTAAGGGTTGGTGCGCGTCGAGAGCTGGGAGATGAGATCGAGCGCGCTGAGGAACTAGTTCTCCGTGTGTGTCCGCTATGAATAGGCGAGGGAGGAGTCAATGGGATCACAGGCGTGCTCTCTTCTCCTTCATCTTTCGATAGACCTTCAACGGCGTAGCTCACCAGGCCAACCTACGGTGGTAAAATGGCACCGATCGTGGCAGCGAAGTCGGAGGCTGACCGTGGTAACAACTCCAAAATCGACAAGAATGAAGCAGCCGGTAACAATGAGAGCACTGGTAGTCGCAACAGCAGTAGGAGCGGAAGTCGATCAAGTCAACCGCGTACGACGACTTCCCGAGAGAAATCCAGGTCATCCACCCCACTCACTGCCTGGCCCAACCAAAAGAAGACTGAACCTTCCAAGCGCACGAAGACGCCGACGTCTGCCAAATCGCCGACACGGGCGACTCCGGAGACCCCAGCGACCACCCAGCCTACCAAAAAGACGGTCGCTGCTCATCCGTTGCCATCCGCTATGCTGCACAAACACAAGCAGGCCTCGGTCTTCACGTCCGGCAAAAAGAAGCACAAGACGTACGTACACGAGCGATCAATGTTGACGAGGCTGGCTTGGTACTAAAACGGTTGCTTCTATTACAGCAACTTCTCCAGCGCCTACGACTCGGGGTCCATTCCGTGCCGGATTAACCACGGAAGTATCCGCAACGCGCTGCAGTGGACCAAAGACCCAAACAGTGCGTTGACTTGATGCAACATTGCTCCATGCAATTAATATTAACTTCATCTCGGCGTACTGGCTGCTACAGGTCTATCCTTCGACCCGCTGCTGATCACCTGTGTCGAGGGGTTCTTGGAGACCAAGCACCCATTTGTGTTCCTCGCTCGCACTACTTTCCGCGAATTGATGCGGCTAGAAGATGCCCGTGACAAGACGCTCCCCATTCTTGCCCAGGTGATCGTGCCGTTGCGTGGGGCGCTGATGGCCAAGGACGACGATACGTTCCTCATGGCGCTGGAGGCAACGCGCATGCTGTCCGATCTGGTCGAGGGGGAGATGAACATTTACCTGCCCAAACTCACGCAGCAGATCCACCGCAAACTGCTCACCAAGCAACTACGAGCCGACGTAGAAGATACGCTCGCAGTTCTAGAGAGTAACGGTGGCAAGGAGGCACTCGCTATCATCCGCTCCAAGATCCCTACGTACGTCTCCATTCGCTAGGTGCGAGTCTAACGACAGCTGCTGCTGGCTAAACGCTGTAAAGCAGAAATTGAATCGCGTCCGTCGTTTTGCGGTCGTCAGCCTCGATGGTAATGCTACTCGTGGGTTCTAACTGAACTCGTGATTAGTGACTGCAACTTGGTTCAGTGAGAACATCAAAGCAACTCAAGGATCATTAATGGTCCCTTGCCGTCCTCAACACTTGGGGTGCACCCACGGGATTACGTGCACTTCAGTGAACTTGAGGTGAGGTGAGTCACGAGGTCGGACTGACAAGATACACAGTATCCGCCGCGCCTCCATTCAACTTAGCGCAGGTCTAGAACAGGCACGAATTCAGCTCGATACGGATCATACCGGTGCCGCTTCCCTCCCTTCCTTCGAACGGTGCTGGCGGCCTTCAAACGTGGCTCTGGTCGACTTTCATTTATCTGTTGGTACCACGACTCCTGAGCTACAAAACTCTGTAGGAAGGAGACCAAGCACCATCGTGATCCATGGGCCAAATCACGCTAGTAATGATGATAATAGGGCGTTGCAACCCACTGAGCGTGTACGTTGCAAGGCAGGACGCTTGCCAACGTCATGATAGCCCACCGATTTCTTGAATGACTCATTGCCCCACGGTGTAAGCACGCATTTCTCTGCTGCTCTGAGGTTTCACGGTGTCCGGTAGACAATTGCTTTTTCCGGCAAATTGAGGCCCACAAGTGTCGAGCCTCCGCAGCTCTGGGTCGACGAAGAGGCCTTGGTATCAGTCAAAAGTGTTCGCCTCTATCAAATCTAAACTACCTCAGTAAAAAGACTTTTGCGGAATACGGTGCAGACAACTTCAACTTGTGCACACTTGAGTTCAGAGCTGCTCGACATTTACCGTCTCTGGTGAGATCGGTCCTTTTGCGCTGGACTGTCGTGGGCCTGGGGCCTCGTGGCGGACCGCAAGTTCGCGCGCTTGCCTTTCTGCTTGCGACTGATTCCCTTCAGTATCTCTCTTGGCACGCAGGGCATGTGAGCAAGCCCAAATATCCTGCTCAACACCCCCACGGCGCAGCTCATACTCGCACTTGTCCGCCGAGCATGAGGTCCGGCCTGCTGAGGGCGCTGCAGAGCGCCAACATCACTATCAACACACAGATCAACAGGCACGCGTGGGTAAGCTGGATCTTCGTCTACCTCGCAGAACTCATCTTCTTCACAGCCTACCGGTTGAGCAACCTCAGCGATCTGGTCAAGTCGTCGGCGTCACCTGATGAAGACGCGACTGCAGTTCGAGTTTATGGAGTTCTACTCGGTATTGTCCAGGACTTTGTCGTTATCAGCGTTTTAGTTGTGGTTCTCTCGGGCTTCGACGCGACTATCAATCGATCGTCGTGTTGCAACGACACAGCGCCGAACGGGTGCCTCGACTGCTTCACGCATGGAATCCCCTTCCTATCGCGGATGAAGCTGGTGTTCAAGCGTTTGCTGCGGTTTTGCGTCGTCTACGTGGCTTGTTTGCTGTCCGTGGCATTATTTTCGCTGGATGTGGTGACTGTGCGGAGTTATCGTCGACGATACGAGTTCGGCTGGGACTCGAGAGATGAAGAGATTGTGGTACCGCGTAGTGAGGAGAGCAGGATCATCACCCACGTGCTGGTGGCTGTTCTAGTCACGCAGGGAGTCATCGCGGCAGTGATTTTGGTGTGGTTTGATCTCACAAGGTGGACGCCTCTTAACTCTGCGGAGAAATGGAGGAGCAGACGCAACCAAGGACTGCCAACAGCGATCAATTCTCGAGAATCCGTCAACTATCTTGTCATGGATCCGGATGAATTCTTCGACTCGGACGACAATGAGAACCTGAGTGCGTTCTTCGACTCCAACAATCGACCGATACACGGGACGCAGCCCCCACAGCCGCGCGCAATTTTGTCGGACGATAGACGCGACTTACCGACCCCGAAGTGGAAGTTTACATTTGTTGGTCTTGGCCTAGCACTCACAATTTTTATCGCAGTGCCGCTGCTAGTGCTGCTTATCACAAGTTACTGCCCCCCGACTGTGGCGAGTATCGCGCTCAATTCAAACTTGAACGAGCCCATTCGTGCCATCACCACACTCTCGTTCGCTCGCAGCTGAATGGTGCATGGTCACGCTCACATGAAATGTGCAATGTAATATTTATTAAAATGCAAGAAGAATACGATAACTTGAATGCAAAATAAAGAAAAGACCTTAAACGCTTCTGAGTTGCTAACGACATGACGCCTGTGCTTTTCGCGCGCGCTACACAGCAGCAGGGGTATAATCCCGATGTCATGGTCCATGGCTCATGGATGCTGCAGCATCTCGAAGTCGTCAGGGGCTTCATGCAAATATCAACATACCGACATCTTGGCTGCGGCTTTTTTTTTTGGCTGGAAGTGTTGGAGATTTTAGAAATTATCTTCTTGGGCGGACATTGAAGGAGGCACTAAAATCTGCTTCACGAGGCAGATATCTCCGCGTTTTGATATGGATGGTAACAAAATGTTAGGATCGCCGGGACCATGGAGGTTTGAGTTTTGTTGCCAGTGGTGGCTATCTGCCTGCTGGGTGCGAGGAGCACGTAGTGACGATCTCCATCCGATAGTTTCTGCTGCAATAACTGAACACTTGGAAGTAGTAAAATGGCTGCACGGGCGTGGAACTCGCGGATAGCGATTTCAAGCTAGTTTGATTAGCTGTGGCAATGCGAGAGCGCACTGAAGCACCCCCGACCCCACGCAGCGTTGAATGCTTTATGCCCAGGAAAGTAATCGATGAATTCGTCGATAAGTTGCTCAGCGTCGGCATACACTCGTTGCAAGGGAAACACTTCCGAAACGCAAGTCGAGCCGTGGCACGCAGGGGTAACTTTGTTTCTATAGCTAATAATTAAACCCTTGCTTGATTGAAATCGATTCAGGAAAAATAAAATGATCAAGCCATGAATTATACTTCATCACTTAAAATCTAAAATCTCACCAAGTGTTTTTCTTCGCAGGGAATCGTCCGCTTTGTTAGCGTTCTCGTAAAAATGTTTTGTAATCTCAAACGATGTCCTTGTGGCTCCAACCCACTTTATCCGTCATGAAAATTTTCGATATCGCGTCGTCCTCTCATCAAGTACCATCCACTTTTGAAACTGAGTTAGCTGCAACTTGGCCGCGACACCATGCTTGTTCCTTTGCCAACGGGATGTCGCCATAATTGTCCACCAATTGTGTGATCATCCGCACATCTCTATCCGCGTGGAACTGGTTCAGGTTGGTGAAGAAGTGGTACCAAACGCCCAACGCCGGGTTCGCCAGAAGCCCCTCAATCGTCCCTTCATCCAGCCTAAACCACTTGAACAGGTAGTCTGGGGAGACGCCGTTCTGCATCCAGCCCACTATCTGCTCATTCTGCAGCTTATTCGCGAGCTGCTTGGTAGTCGGGTTCAGCTTGGCTGTCACGAGCATCTTCGCCACCTCCTCATCACCGTAGGCTTTCGTGAACGTTCCCAACATATTTACCTCGTTTCCCCGGTGCTTCTTGTTGTACTCGCCCAGGAAGGCAGCCTACAACTGCAGGCTCGGGTTCTCCAAAAGCGTCTCCATTTTGTCGTCCAGCTTGAGCAGCCTGAACACGTCGTCTGGTGTCTGCTTCTTCTTCAGCCAGCCTCTTACCTCGAGGGAGACCTCGCTTCTATGAGCGAATGCCGAGAACGCGGTCTTCAGCTTAGCGAGGTGTCGGGTGTTCGCTCTTCTTCGTCGTCCCCACTTTCATATCTCAAGAGCATTCTACCTCGGGCATCGCTCGAGTTATTAGCAAACCAGGTGGACGCGCCCAAAGTTGCCTTTGCACCGGTCGGTACAGTAGCAATACAAACCACCATAACGAGAAGCAGCACCGAGTACAGCTACATGACTGCGCCGTTGGATGGAAACTGTGAAATGGAGGTCCGAATCCCTCTCCGCATCCCAAGGACCGCCCCCAATGGGGGTCCGATCTCTCAATGTTTACTTAGGGACCACCGACCGTGACTCATGTGGTGAGGTTGGTGTGCACTGCCCTTTTATAGTGACTGACTTGATATTTGTATTCAAACGCGTTTTCTATGTATTTCTTTGGCTAGCCAGGACACCGAAAGCACAATCCATCGACTTTATGTATGGAGTTCACTAAAAATGATCATACATACCTAGGTACCATTTCCGGGTCGTTCTGCACAAATGCTCGATTCAAAACGATCACGTAGAAAAAGGGTGCGTATACTTATGGCGTATACTTGGCCGACTTCTGATCAAATTCTCGATTCAAAATGACCACAGCCATTTTCAAAACGATCAGCTGCCCTTTCTGTGATACCACAGAGGGAAGCAGATCAACAATTGTCCTTTTCGAGAAAATTCTGGCTGATCTCAGTATTGATTTGAGAACATAAATACGACGCAGTGTCAATTGTTGATCAGTCTTTCCCACAACGTACCAGAAAAATGGCACATGTTCATTTAGAAAATGAAAGTGATTGTTTTGAATCCGTGTACTGTTCTGGTCGGAGTCGGACGTGTATACTGCCCTTTTTTCTACGTGATCGTATTGAATCGAGCATTTGTGCAGAACGACCCGGAAATGGTGTAGACCCTATTTGATAGGAACACATTGTGGACAGAATCACCGCCATTGAGACTTTCTCCCGCTTAGTGTTTGAGGCACCTCGAATCGCTGTCGATACCAAAGTCCTTGCAAACCTCCCGCCCAAGCGCGTTGATACCGTCGACGACCCAAAGTCTGTAGTCGGCGAATACTAAAATCTTGCCCGGGGCGAATGCAAAGTTGCTCGACGCCTCTCCAATGAAGATCTTGCCAAGCAGAGTTCCCTCGGGGTTCCACACGTGAACACCGTCGCCACAACCAACCCAAACGTTGCCGTCGGTGTCCGTGTGAATTCCGTCGGGAGTTCCGCTGTCGGCAACGCGCTTTCCTCCGAGACGTTTGTTGTCAATGATGTCGAACGCATAAATGGTGGCCGGGCCGGTCCGACTCTCGGGCACCCGTATCGGACACGTACAGCGTCTTGTAGTCCGGTGAGAACTCGAGACCGTTCGGCTCGTGGAAGCCGTCCACGACGACTTGGATAACACCCGTCGACGGTTCAAAGCGGTAGACTTGGCGGGGGAGCTGAGGCTCCGTGCGGAAGTTCTGGATATGGCCGTACTCGGGGTCCGTGAACCACAGGTCACCCGTCACGGGGTACTGCCGCACATCGTTCACGCTGGTAAGGTTGCGCCCGTTGTAGCCAATGATCAGCGGCTCAGACGTGTTCGTGTTAACGTCCACGGCGAGGAGCTGGGCGTAGGACTCGAGGTCGCCCTGATCACACCAAACCTGCTGAGGTGGAGTGGCATGCTCGTCGGCACCTGGCGGGTAGTACGAAGAACCACCGTTGGCCATCGTGAGGCCCGCGAATTGAGTACTGATGACGGAGTAGTCGTTGAGCGAGAAAGCCGTGATGTTGATGTTGTCCGCGAGAGAAGCGTAGTTGGACGAGACGTAAAGGGTGTTGTGCTTCTTGTTGTAGACGCCACCCTCGTGGAAGGCGGCCAGTCTAAATTGGCGATCAACTGGGCGGTAGTGTTGTTGCCAATTACATCCGCGAAGGACGAATCGTAGGACAGAAGTGAGAGCGCGGGGTTGGTCGCGTTTCCGACGAGGACGTGAAGATTGACATCGATGAGCGACATTGTTCATGAGTCTTCGGGAGCGCCGCCAATAGATGCACATGGACGAGGAGAACGTGTGGACACATCCGCCGATGACTCGGAGGATCCGACGGCGACGGGAGAGCTGGCGGCAGCCGGGCTCTGGATACACCAATGGCTGGTCAGGGAGACCCAAGTATACTGAGATCAAGTCAAGCGGAACCCGGGAGTAATCCGTCTGATGAGAGGCACCAACGAGCACAAGGAGAACAAGAAGGAAAGCAGGAGGGGAAGACTAGAGAGTAGTTTGAGAGACGATAACATTTAATCTCACTTCGGAATTTGCCCCCTCATCCACAAGCTACAAACCAACAGGTTTACAGCCGCAACAAGCTCAAGCCCCCCCGACGACTGATATGACGACGTCCAGCAAGAAGGCCAAAGTCATCCTGGGAAGCGACAATTACCTCCACTGGGAGTTCGCGATGCGTATGAAGCTGGCGAAGAAGGGGCTGCTGGCGCACGTCCAAGTGGTGAAGGACCCGACGGAGATGACGGAGGCCTGGATGCTCAACGACATGAAGGCGCTCGGTCTGATCGCTCAAGGCGTGGCTGTGGAACACCACACGAAGATTCGGTCGGCGACGTCGGCTATCCAAGCCTGGAATACTCTACACGAGTTCTACAACCGGACGAAGATGCATAATCGTGTCACGATGACTCGTCGGCTCCACGGGTTCAAGATGGAGGACGGTGCGACGATGGCGAAGCACCTGGACAAGTTCGACGAGCTCATCGTGGGCCTTCAGACGCTTGGAGAGCCCCTCGATGACTCCCGACAACTCGTCATCCTGCTGAGCAGCTTGCCGGCGGAGTACGAGTTGATCGCATCCATCGTCGAGAACTCGAAGGACGTGACCCTCATCGAGGTGAAGGAGAAGCTGCTCAAGGAGTACGAGCGGCAGGAGAAGAAGGAGACCACGGAGCGCGCGTTGAAGGCTACCTCGTTCGGAGGTAGGGGCCAGAACGGGAAGCTCGGCAAGGGCGGCAAGGCATTCGGCCGCAAGCGCAACGGCGGACGAAAAGTCGGTGGCTTCAAGGGCAAGTGCTTCAACTGTGACCAAGTGGGCCACATGAAGCGGACTGCCCGGAAAAGGCAAATGGAGACACCGCCGAAGCGGTCGACGTCGGCGACGACTCGACCGCTGGAACTGGTTCATACGGACGTGATGGATCCTATGAAGACGAAGTCCAAGGGCGGAGCGAGGTATGTGCTCAGCTTTGTCGACGACTACTCGCGACACGTCGTGGTGTACTTCCTGACCAAGAAGAGCGAGGTCGTGACCAAGTTCAAGTCGTTCATGAAGCTGTGCGAGAACCAGTGGGGACAGCGCATTAAGTGCCTGCGCTCGGACAATGGCACTGAGTTCGTGAACATGCCGATGACTGAGATCCGCTGAGTGAACGGGATTATGCATCAGAAGACGGTCCCGTATAGCCCCCAGCAGAATGGCGTGGCGGAGCGGATGAACCGCACGATCATGGAGAAGGCTCGAAGCATGCTGCACTACAAGTGCGTGGCTTCGATATGGTAGGCAGAGGCTGTCAGCACTGCTGTCTACCTGATCAACCGATCGACGAACAGCATGCACCCGGCCAAGACTCCGTACGAGTTGACGTTCAAGTCGAAGCCTCGGCTGGATCATCTTCAAGTCTTCGGGTCGATGGGTTACGCTCATGTCGACAAGTCGCGACGCACCAAGTTGGAGCCGAAAAGCTTCAAATGTATGTTTCTTGGGTATGCCGACGACTCAAAAGGCTACCGAGTGTACGACTTGGTAAAGGTGTCCAAGTCGGTGAAGCTGGACGAGCGCGAGGTGAACGGCATCTACGACATGGCGCCCAGCGAGAACTCGCCGATCATTGAGTTGACGGAAGATGTCGAGGATGCGGCACTGCCCGAGGAGATACAACGAACTGCCGCCGACGAGCCCTTGGAATCGGTGGAAGAGACCGTCGAGGACACGGAGATGCATGAGATAGAGACGTCGGAGCCATCCATGCAGGAGCTGACAACGTACCGACGACTCGCGAGACCGGTATTGAATGATGACATGGTCTTCCACCCCGAGCCGTAACGGACCCGGCGCGCCCGAGAACCGGTATTACTACTTGGAGATGGTTTAGCAAACGGCGAGGAGTCGAAAGAAGATGGCCCCGATGACTCGGAGAACGATGATCACTTCTGGCCGCCGTCTCCGAAGCGACCAAGGGTGGACGAAGACAGCCTATTGGCTGAGGCCGTGTTGGTTTATGCCGCAGACGTTGGCGATGCCGACGACGCACCCACCACGTATCAGCAGGCCATGCCGAGCGACGAGTCGTCGGAGTGGGTGAAGGCAATGAATGCGGCGCTCAAGGCACACGCGGACAACGGGTCATGGACGCTGGTCCGTCGGACACCGAGTGCTCGACCGATCGGTTGTCGCTGGGTGTTCGCAAAGAAACGCGACGAGCACGGCCGAGTCATCAGGTATAAGGTCCGCCTGGTGGCGAAAGGGTTTAAGCCAAAGTACGGCGTGGACTTCTTTGAGACGTACTCGCCCGTGGCCAACGTGAACTCGATCCGAGTGGTGTTGACGAGTTGTGGTGGCCGAGGCATACATCACCGAGCAGCTGGATGCGGACACCGCCTTTCTCAACAGCGGCCTGGTGGAGCGCGTCTACATGGAGGTGCCCTATGGAATCATCAACGCAAAGAACATGATGTGTCGGCTGCAGAAGGTGTTCTATGGTCTGAAGCAGGCGGAAAATGCCTGGCATAAGACCATCCACCGAGTCTTCGAGGGCATCGGATTTCGGAGCTGCGGCGGTGACCAGTGCGTATACGTCAAGGGCGAGAAGGGCAGGTTCGTGTACGTCTGCCTGTACGTGGACGATATGATCATCGCAGCCAAGACGAGCAGCGAAATCCAGGAAGTCAAGGTGGCGCTCAAGAATGCGTTTAAGATGAAGGAGTTGGGCGAGACCAAGTTCATTCTCGGTATGGAGATCGACCATGACTCATCGGCGAAGACTCTCATGATCAAGCAGACTCGATACGTTGATGATGTGGTGAAGCGGTTCAACCAGCAGGACGCTACGGTGGTGGTGAACCCGTGCGAGTCGGGCATGAAGTTGTCGAAGCCTCAGTCGCCGATGACTCAGAAGGAACGTGAGGAAATGCAGACGAAGCCCTACCGAGCACTCATTGGCTGTTTGCTGTACATTACAACGTGCACCAGACCTAATATGGCGTACATCGTGCCCCATTTGTCGTGCTTCCTCGAGAATCCCGGGTAGCAGCACTGGAAGGCTGCCATCCGCGTGCTCAGATACCTGAAGAGCACCCGAGCCATCGGCATCACCTACAATGGGAACGCGAAGAAGGTCAAGGTGACGGCGTACACCGACACCGACTGGGGCAGCAATCTCGACGACTGACGCTCGGTGTCGGGCATCATGGTGATGATTAGCGGGGCGCCGGTGGTCTTCAAGGCGAAGTACCAGCGCACGGTGGCGCTCAGCTCGGCGGAGGCCGAGTACATGTCGCTGAGCCTGTGCGCGCAGGAGGTGCTGTGGACCCGCGCCATGCTGAAGGACATCGGTCACGAGCAAGTGGGAGCTACCCAAGTATGGGAGGACAACCAGGGCACGATCGCTCTCGCAAGCAACGCTGGCTACAACGCGAGAACCAAGCAAGTGGACATCAAGCATCACTTCATCCGCGAGAATGTGTCCCGAGGACAACTACGTGCCGATGGAGGACCAGCTCGCGGACATGCTTACCAAGGCGTTGGGGACGAAGAGGCTCAAGTACCTGATCAGCGCAAGCGGAATCGTCGGGACGGTCGTGCAGCATTAGCGGCGAGTGAAAGTGTTCATGAGTCTTCGGGAGCGCCGCCAATAGATGCACATGGACGAGGAGAACGTGTGGACACATCCGCCGATGACTCGGAGGATCCGACGGCGACGGGAGAGCCGGCGGCAGCTGGGCTCTGGATACACCAATGGCTGGTCAGGGAGACCCAAGTATACTGAGATCAAGTCAAGCGGAACCCGGGAGTAATCCGTCTGATGAGAGGCACCAACGAGCACAAGGAGAACAAGAAGGAAAGCAGGAGGGGAAGACTAGAGAGTAGTTTGAGAGACGATAACATTTAATCTCACTTCGGAATTTGCCCCCTCATCCACAAGCTACAAACCAACAGACATGCTTGAAAGTCTTCGTTAGACTTGGTGTAAAGAAGGAAACTTGCAGACTGAATAGAAGTGAGCTCGAGCTTCAGCTAAGCTTTGTTCAAAAAAAGCTGATTGGAAGTTACCACGTTGGAAGAGCTTCGGGTCTGGGACTCAAGAATTCTATTCTAACAACTGCATACTGAATATTTATCCCGCCAGCACAGCGAAGCCAATGCTATGACTTTGTATCCTGCTCAAGTTTTGAGTAGGAAGAACAGCCAATCCAATGCAATGGATTTGTATCCTGCTCAAGTTTTACGTAGTCAGCAGTAGCCGTGACTAATCAAAAAAATAATATTGTGCTTTGCAGATAAAATGTCGCCCCGTTTTATGGCCTAGATCGAGGAAAAAATCAGGGCACAAATCAGAGGGGGTAGGGTTTGTGCCAGATGATGGCACTATTAGATAAATCTAGACAAATGATGGTGGCATTTGCCAAATGATGGCACTATCTAATAATTGATGGCACTTGATGGCACTCTATCTAATTCAGAGGTCGACGGTGTCCATAGCTTCATACCGGGCTGCTCGTTTAGAGTTCAGCACTGTGGCAAGGACGGCGTAGCAAGCACGCTACCCACATGGCCGCAAAGCACCCTGACCAGTACCGATGGGCAAACGATCCGACTTACGATGAACCTCGAATCTCGACAAGCAGCAACTGAGCACATCAAGAATTTGGCTGAAGACCAACAGTGGCCAAGGTTCGACATCAAAAGAAGTGGTTGCCAATAGTGGTGAAACACCAAGTCCTGTGACAGCAACACAGCAATGTGTGGGGGCTGCGGCCAGCTCGGTCATAACGCAGGGGCATGTTCAGGCGTTGAATCAAGTGCCATTGAAGAGTGATTGGAGGGCAAAACGAAGAGTACCATCAATTATTAGATATGGCCATCATTTGGCAAATGCCAACATCATTTGTCTAGATTTATCAAATAGTGCCATCATCTGGCAAAAACCCGAGGAGGTAGCATGGACGATCTCGATTTATTATAAATCGACTCGAATTGCGCTTTTGAAAACGCAAAAGGGTCGATTTGCCCTCGTTCAGCTCAAATCTGCCAGGAGATCGACCTCGAGCCCTGATTTGGCTTGTCGTAGCTCGAGTTGTTGGCCGGCTTAAATAGATCGATCTGTCCCTTTCTTTGACCTCGTTTTATTAAATCGACCTCGAGTTATTATAAATCGAGGAGAGCTCCAAGTCAAAACGACAAAACGTTTGCAAAGCAAAATACATGTGTCGGATTTTACCGAATATAAGCCTGTCTTCTGATTCTCATTAGCCCCGGCAAACCGAACGATTCTGACGAGGGAATTTGTATTAGGGTGAGGACTTATATTTCATGGAAATATTACATCAAGACTGGTTCTGTACTAAAGAAGATCTACTTTTCTTCGTTAAATTCCCTATGAGCTCGCAAAGGAGCGTCTCGCTCGTAGTAAGAACCCCAAGATCATCGCATTGGTTCGTCTGAAAGAATTGACGCCGTTCCGATTTACGACTGACAAGCTGGCCAAGTCGAGATGCCAAGAAGTTTTGTCTAGGCTTAGGTAGGGCCGCTAAACCAGGGTGCCTGGATGTATGCTCAAGCTCACATCGATAAGCTTTTGGGTAAGAAGCAGCCCCTCGAGTACATTAGCCGTGGGGTTTTTAACCGCTTCCGCTATCCGTTTGCACTGCATTTGCAGCAGCAGCAGCAGCTTAAAATGGTTTTGAACGAAGTGTCTGGGCCGCACAAGTAAGTTCTAGGCCATGCAAGACACTGCAAAAGCGCAAGTAGGCGTTCAATGCTCGTCATGAAAAAAGATAAACAGTCGTTCAGTTCATCTTATTTAGCAGTTTACATGTATATCTTTGTCTAAGACATTAATGCTGATGGAGTACATGTAGCGAGATCGGTTGATCGGTTGACGACCAATTGCTTTTTCCAGGTACATCGTATCGTTGTGAAGCAAAACCAAAAGGGTTGGAATGAGCTCAAGCTCCAAAGCAGAGTTCGGGCGAACATTTTTAACACTGTATGACTGAGAAAACCCTACCGATTTTCGGGATTTGCATTTTTATCGCTTTTAAACGCGGCTCAAGCCGCAATTTCGCTGTTCAGACATCTCAGTGACTATCGGTAGACTGCAATAAGTGCTATTGCCTTCGTATACCAATGTGTGTGCGTATGCTGTTGCCCAATACACGCCAGAGACCCCAAACGCCCAGCCGTAGCCGTACGGATAGTTTTTGGCCGTGGCCGCGGCCAGCCGCGGCCAGCCGAAATCTCTCACGGGTGTGATTACGGATAGCCACGGCTGTCCGGCTAGACACCACTGCGGATAACCGAGATTCATTGCGAGATCAATTTAAGCGGTTCTAGCTTCGATTGCTATAGCCAAAAAGACTGCTCTTGAGGTTGACAGTGAGTATTGTGGCTAAAGGAAGCGGTATTGAGTCCCCCAGCGATGAATAATATTCGTATCACCAGTCAAATGTAGAAATAGCTTGGCACGAAACAATTCAGCTGTTTTACGGCCAACCGAAGCCAAAATGTCGGCCAGCCACGACTGGCCGAATGAAATCCACGGACAGCCGAACCCTGCCTCGAGGTTAGCATGGCCAGATACGGACAACCGGTTTTCAGCGTTTGCGACCTCTGATACCCGCCCAACAGCTCACTAGATTCGCTCAGATTTGGCTGATTTGACCCCTAGCTTTTTATAGAATCTATCCAACATAAATCGAAGCTAGAAGCATGTCCTTACAGAATAGAATGTGATCTTACTTTACACATCAATTTACCGCTGAAATATTATATAGTGACTAGATATGAGCCGATAAAAATGGCTTCTAGGTGAGGAGATCGTTGAAAAGCAACTTGACCCTCTTGCTGTCGTCACATCGCAACTTCATCCGCCAATCACATCGCTCGAATTATGCACAATCAGACGATATCGTCTAACGATCTGATTTGCATGCCTCGCACACGCCGCAGCGCAAGCGTTCAACCTTTGATAGCTTGCGCCGTAGGGCGATCCAAAGCACAGGACCACCTTCATTTCAAATATCACGAAATGTACTGTACGATGCCTTGCGTTCATTAACAAAATATTTGAAATTCTTAAAATCGACAGTGTCCCGAAAACGGGCCATATGCGGTAAGGTTTTCCCAGTCAGCGGCTTAGCATTTTTTGTTTGGCGCGGAGGGCCCCCTGGTGGCCCAGTGGTCTACGGGCCACGAAGCTACGTACGTGGCACACGAGGGACATTCCAATCCAGATGATAAGACATTGGTTTGATTCCACTTCGCTTAAGACGTCGAAGAAAATAAAACGGAAACCCTTCAGTTTCCCGATCACGGAGGAGGAATCTACCAGTAAGAGCGTGCCACCTCTTCATCTCAATTGATCAGTTGCCGCTTTCGTGGCTAAGCCCTCACTCCCTCTTTTTTCGACCCTACCGCGCGGGCCTGCCTCCTTCTAGCTGCCCAGACACAAGAGCCACAGAGCCGTGCACAACCCAGACGCGCCTCCGCCCCCCCCCCCCAACGATGTAGCTCAACTGGAAGAGCGCAGGGCTTTGGCCCTGAGGATGCCTGTTCAACTTGGGCCATCGTTATCGTGTTCTACTGGGTTGGAGGCGTTGAAGGCACGATGGAGCTGCGATCACGCTGGTGTCAGCAGACAACGCGCAAGGTTCAAGCGAGGGCACTTGGTGCTCGAAGCGAGGGGTGCGCCGTACCGGCCAGCGCATCTGGGGTTTGTTAATGAGGTGTATGTATTTGAGCCTAACTACTGTGCCCACTTACCTGCAACATCAAGCACGTCTTGTGTGCAACCAGGGGCCGGGTTTTGGCTTGCCGGTGTCTGGAGCAACCGTTGGTGGCGCTGGATGATAGCATCGAGCGTTCCGGTGCTATGAAGTCGCTGGAGATGCTTGAGGACAGCGCTGGAGCCGCGAGAGTTGATGCCGTGCTTTGTTTTCAGGTACGTGAGGATGGCATCCTCGGCGCGCTTCCTGAGCTCCAGCACGCGATCGCGATAATCTTCCGCCGCGGTGTCCAGGGCGAAGCCGTCCTCGATGAAAAGCTTCATGAAGGCGACAAGCAGCTTGGACCTCGAGCGCAGCTGCTTCGGCGCCGCTGCCTGCCAGCGCGGCTCCTGAGCGTACCACGTGAACCAAGTCGCGTGCAGGTGCGTTGCTGATCCTCTGCGTTGTTTCTTCTTTGGCGCCTCACTTACCTCATCTGTTTCTTCGTCTGCCTTGGTTCTCTTTCGTGCAGGAGGTTCTGGATCCCCGTTCAGCTTAGCCTCGAGCCTATCCATGCGAGCGTCCTGCAGCTTCTGATTGTCGATAAGGTGTTTAATGTCAGCGGCTTGATGGTCGGTCACTTTCTGCTCGTAGCTTGGCTCGCTTGGCTTGGATTTGTGTTGGTCCTGGTGTGTCGGTACGGGTGCTGTCTTGGGACACAGGGAACCGGAGCTTCGGCGAGATGCGTGGACCATGCGAGGAGATCCGCAAGCGAGCAGCTAGCATGAGCGACGCAGACCTCGATGCTCTTGACGGCAGGGCTATCTGGATTCAAGTCCTTCAGCAGCGGGTAGTGTCGGAGGGCGCACGCGGTTAGGCCATCGAGGGCCTTCTTGCTGATGTTGAAGCTCTCCGTTTCGAGCTGGTAGCAGGAGGCGAACAGGATGCGCTGGACACCTACAATCGACTCGAGCGTCTGGCTGCCGAAGCAGGACAGGTCTTGAAGCGGGACAGCAGTCTTGGGTTTGTATCCGCTGAGTACCTTGGCGATCTTGTGGTCCTCCCTGCTGGTGTTTAATATGTGATTAAACCCCTTGTTTGTCGTAGTCAGGTTCCACGCCCCACGGTCGAAGGTCCAGCGCGCAGTTATCTTTTTGCAGCCGTTGGCGTGCTGGGCACCACCGCGTCTGAAGGAGTGCGACGTGAGGGCAGCTCCAACACAAACGGCGGGTGCGACGCGGTCAAGGACACGGTTGACGTGCGCGTAGATTGTCGGCGTCGTGTCAGTCGGGGGTGGAGCGGCTGGAGCGACTAGGCCGGTGGCCTCCGGTCGTGCTTTGAGAAGCTCAACAAGCGGCACGTCCGGAGACAGCGTGACGGCCGTCGGCAGCGCTTGGTCGGGGAGGTTGGCGATGAGAGCTGGACACGGCGCCGCTTGGACAACAAGAGCGAGAGCGACGGCGAGCAAGGGGCACGTGGCGAAGTCGGCGTCTGGGAAGATGACAAAACCACCGCCATCTCGTTTCAGACAAAAATTGTCGAGGATTTTCCCCATTTTGAGCAGACGAGATTCTAGCGACGCTCTGTGCTGAGGAAATTGGTCAGGAAGCCAGATTTTAGCTTAGCGATAGTACTGCATTGCAGTGTTTCGAGCTAGCACTTTACCCTTCTTGCCCTCGCTATATGCAAGATACATCCCAAACTTATCCATGACACACACAAAACTCTTACCGCTCTCGTCTGTCTCAATACATTTTCTTACATACTCCTCATCAACTTCCTCACCCTTAAGAAACTTGGAGAACGCTGCAACTGCAGTCGCCTTGGCACGTAATTATTGCCAGGCTGTAGTTCTTCCAAGCCCATGGCGGCGGTCCGATAAAGAGAAATATGAAAGTGATACTTGGTATTTGAATTGACATACACATATTTTACGAATTTATCGTACTTGATACGTCCGATCGAATGGTTTAGATGACTCACCTACCCCTAGATGATGTTATTGGTCAAAACCTAGATTATGTAACCGTAGTGATTGGGTAAAAAACTCACTCGCGTCTGATTGGCCTGAATCTACCATACAAACTATAAGTATGGTCCGATAAAACATGATATTCATCTATATCTCATTCAAACCAATCAAAATCAAAATCAACAACATTCTTCAACATTCAATGAGTAGCCAGCCAAGTGCAGTAGCAGCCAGAAATAACCAGGTAAACAACTTTAATTCCTTCCTCACACATATAGTTTGCTCACTGGTATCTGACAGGTTTGAACACATAGAAAAACGCAAAGCGCGGGCGGTTTTTGTTTTGTACCCCAGAGGCGAGGAGTTTTTTAGCACACATTAGAGCAGTTGGACGCCGCTAAAATATGTTGGAAATTTTGACAGAGAAACAGTCATTTTCTTAGCTCCATCTACTTGCCACACTACTTAGTCGTTAGCGTACATCGTCAATGGTCGGCAGTGAGCTGCACGTACTCGGAGCAAGAGCTTGTGATCCACGTCTAATTCACGACCCAGATCGCGCCCATTTGGTCAAGCTCCACGTCCGAAGACCCATGGAAGCCACCAAGTTGGAAGCCATCGATAGCTCCTGCCTTGTCTGACGCCATGGTGCCACATTTGATTTCTTTACCCGTCGTGGAGGTAATCTTGATGTACCTGACGCGCGTACGACCATGGTGTTTACCCGTGTGGGCCTCGATGCACTTAACGCGCTCACCGGGTCTCATAATGAGCGTTTGGGTTTCGCGACCCTCACCGCCGCGGAACTGAGACGCCCGCTTTCCTCCCGGGACCTCAACGGCAATTCCAACGCCGTTCACACGCTCGCCGGTGCGGATCGAGACGGATTGCACGATTTCCCCGGCCCTGGCAAAACTTGAATCGTCGAAAGGTTTGCCGTGCGGCTCGCCATACAGTGTGCCAAAATTACCGGAAAAATGGTCGTCCGCCGCAGTACCTCCCTCAATAGTGCCGGTTGCCAGTAGAGCCACCGTTGCCAGGATCTGGGAAAAGAATTTCATCGTTGTTGCTTGAGCTTGTTGCTGGGAGAAGGGAAAATCGAGAATGCGCTGACGCACTCCCCTCCGTCTTGCATTAGAGCCTTGTATCTGGTCTTACTTATGGCCGTCAGGAGATGCCCCTTTGGTTGTTGCTACCCCTTACCAGCATGTTGACGTACATGCCTCTCATTCCTTACGATAAAAACGGGGGAGTCGTCATCAGTAGAGTCTGTTGTTGGACGACTCTCCTTCGTTTTTTGAATTACATATCTGAATGCGAGAAAGTATGTTGAAGAGGCCATTGTTTTCAATCATCGCAGACGGCGTGTGTTAACGTCGACATGAAGGCTAGCTACGCATGAATACGAACGCTGGAAAATGGATGGCAAGCAGGGGTCGGACAATAAAATATAAAATTGTATTGTAGACGTATTTCTTCCGTAACGATACCGTAATAATTCGTTTTGTATTATTTTTTCCGACCCCTGATGGCAAGCTAGTCCACACCAGCAAGACCACGGCCATTAGCCCTTAAACACGTCCAGACCGGCAGCTGAGATTCTGTTCGACTTGTTGTCCTCCACGAGAGCGTGCGTACTGATCAGCGCTCGTCGACTCGTGTTGAGGGTTATCACGTCGTCCTTTGTCAGGTCTCGTCAGGGATGGGAAATTTGAAATTCACAGGTCGAAGACCTGTGCTTGGCAGGCAGAATTTTTTTGTAACTTACCGAAACCGGGTATCTTTCTAACCTAAATATAGTACTTTTTAACCTAAACAATTACATTTAAAGCTACGAATGACTACATGTATTACTCTGTAGCTCAGGGGTTGTTTGCTAAATTTAGCACTAAAATCTAAGATAAGATTAGGAGTTAGTACTACTTTTGTGAAAGATTGCTAAGGATTTCACAAATAAACTACGGTATGCATCCGCTGAAGCATACTTTATAGCTGGGCAACGCTTGTCAATATCTCGTGCTATCATGTCTGCTAGCTCGAGCTACGTAAGCTGTACGCCTCAAATGTTGATAGCTTAGTACATCGTCTCACATTAGACATGCTCGCCAAACATGGAACGGAGGGTGTTAATATTGTCTTCACTGCAGATTTGGATACCTGCATGTTATTATAGGTGGCATTCTGGCCCATAACGAGCTCTGGTTCGAATGTAGACGAAGCGATGAGTTGCGTAAATTAAAATAAAAAGAGAGAGAGCGATCTATCTACCTGCTGGATGAGCAAATGCCGCTCATTTCGCGAAACTCTGGCGATTGACTACTGAGGCTTCGCGGGTACTGGAATAGCTCGTCCAGACTTGTCTAATCCGCATTGCAAGCGACTTCGGTGCGCCGCACATGCTGCGCACCAGGCACTCTCTGGATACTTTCCTTTTGCTCCGACCCAGCTAAATAGTTTGTGAGTGGATTCCAAGTTTTTGCTCTGACCCAGTGGCAACTTTGTTAAGTTTCCAGGCCAAAATGAGACACTGGTCGTCCGCAGTATCTTTTTGACGTAGCTCAAGAACTCGACTTAGTCGACTGTCAGCAAACGGTTTATTTAGCACCTATTCATTCTTGCCAACAACGTATCTTGCTACTGTAATGTTCATCAATTGATTTCTGAAGCCTTATTGACAGAAATGGCTCCAAGTCGGGCTTGCATACAAAACTAACTTGCGATTTGAACATGTTTCGCTGAGATCGAGCCATTATTGCTGGTAAATACCAGTTTCAGAGGTAAACTTTTGACTAATTCGACCTATGTACTCCCCCGGAGCGTTCGCTTTGGGTCACCTATAAAGATGCAGATAGATGTGGATGTGGAAATTGTAATTTAATACTGGGATAGCAGTGGCCGATAGGTTATGCTGCTAGGCAGCCCAAATCGGGTTAATTCGCGCCTCGGTAACTGAAGCCAGTAAACTGAGGCCGGTATCGTGGTCCTTTGTCACTGGCTGTCTTTCTCCTGGTGACCCGGTAACTGGAGCTGGTAACTGAGTCCGATCTCGAGTCACTTGGCTTCAGCCATTCGCATTCTAAAGCAACCGGCACCTACGTCCCCCTGTTTTTCCTTTATCTCGCGAACTATTGCTCAGTACAGCCACAAGTTCCCTACACTAACATGGTCGCGCGTTTTTCGCCATAATTCGCCACTATCAGGTTCACTACGACGCTGAATTCGAGACGTGGTTTCGGCTGACTGTTGTAGTTGACATCGCAGGCCGTGTCTACCTCGGTCTCGCTGATAGGCGCCATGGGACTACAGCTATTGTGCAATTTCACATTCTACCACTAAACCAAGCAGCCGGCCTACGTACCTAGCCACCGCACTAGGGCCCCGCAATGGCTAGAATAGGGGTCTTTTGACCGTATCTGTAGTTGTTTTGTTTTTAGTTTATAGCAGGCTTTTTATCATTACCCATTGGCGTCTCCTGCGCCTGCTTCGCAGCCGCAGCATCTGCCTGGTAATGCGATCTGAAAAGTAGATACTGTCTACACCTTTGTGCGGCCTACTTCGTACCAACGTGCAATCAAATCCGAAAGTCGCAAAATTCAAATTGCAAGTTTCTAGTTAGCAACTTCAATTACGCATTCAAAGATGGAATTACGGCAATCAAATTCGTACAGTAGGCTACTACTAGTGGTCCGACGAGCCCTGTTACATGCCGTACACGATGTCCTCGTTGTTCGCCGCCTTGGTGACGAAGTCGCGACAATGCAGCTCCATGCTGGCCTCCAGCGCTGGGGTCATCACGTTCATGTTAGCGGTCGCGGCGCGCTCCAGGATGTGCATCTGGCGTTCCGAAATGGAGAGGATCTCACCGTTGCTGTCTGGCTCACGCGAGCGATCGTAGATTGCGTGGTGATCCAGAGCCAAGTCTCGCTTAATGCGGGTTTTTAAGACGCTGCTTCTCGAGGACGGTGTGGCGAGTAACGCGGCCTTGGAGGGACATCTGCGAAGAAGAAGGCGAATTGCGAAGTGAGCCCCCCTCGGTCGGCGTCGGCTATAGTGCGCGCCAAACCACGCGCCCTTGCTTTTGGCGCGAGCACAGCACGCCAGCTTACGTAGCCATGGAGATCTTGGACCTCTGGTCCAACTTTGATTGCCGTAATTCCATCTTTGAATGCGTAATTGAAGTTGCTAACTGAAAATTTGCAATATGAATTTTACGACTTTCGGATTTGATTGCACGTTGGTACGAAGTAGGCTGCACAAAGCTGTACATGTACACCTATACAGTATAACAGTGTTATACTGTATAGGTGTTATAATAACACATGTACAGTACAGTGCGCGCGGCAGGCAGTCCGCAGCAGATCCCCCGTTTTGTTGGTGTGGTGCCGCTTCTCCACTTCAGACTTTGAATTTTAATTGATTTTTTTGCGGTTTAGACGGCTAACTACAGCCAATGCCGCGCACTGCTGCAGCTCAGACTTTGGGTTCCGACGGCAAGCTGTATATCAACTTAGAATTTTAGAAGGGTTAACAAGCCATGAGCACGTCCTGCTCCTGTCAGTGACAACTCTCTTCGCGAGTGTCTCGGCGTCTGCAGGCAACCTGCAGCTTGTACAAAATGATAAGACTTACCTTTTGTGCTAGTACAGGTCCTATCCGCCTTAACGGTCACCTTACTTCACTCCACCAGTTCGTACCTGTTACTGATTCATACCAGTTCGATCTGACCACGGGTATAATGTAGCGTCGACAAAACTGGTTGGTCTGCGGTAGCAATGCCACGCCAATAAATGGATTTGTTTGGTTTCGACCGATTTTAATTGTCGCTGTATTTCTGTCCTGGACATCAATATTAGCCGTTCGGGATGGAATCCCCTCCTCAGTTAGCTTCGCATTTTCAATTGTTTGCTGGATTATCGACTAATGTCATCAAATATCATTTGTTTCCAACTGTTATATTTCGGTGGTTTGAAATATTGGTTTGAATCCACAATCTGATTCACAATCCCGACTCAAACTATCAAAAATAATACATGTATTGAGATCTGAATAGCCTAACCTGAAAATTACATTCGGCTAACGTAAATGCTTATGACAGCATGCTGTTATGGTGATGCTCGCTTTGAAGAAGCGATATATAGCACGAAAGCAATCCCTCGACTGTAGTCTCCTAACAAATTAGTCGCCACCATCGCAAGATAATCCCCACGAGATGAAAACAAATCAAACCAAAAAGAGTAAGGAACACAAAAGGTATAACAACTCTTGCTACATCAATTGTGTATTCAGTGTGCATCTACCTATTCGACCAAAACGTATAGTGCATCCATCTCCTACGCCGCTCCACCGGCGGCAAACTGACCCGCGCCACCGCCAAACTGCCCTGCGGCTCCCAAGCCACCGCCGAGTCCACCGGCTCCGAATCTTCCGCCGTTCATGCCGCCGAAGCCGCCGAGACCCCCCATTCCACCACCAACACCAGCACCGGCGCCACCGAATCCACCGGCTCCGGCACCTCCGAAGCGTCCGCCAAAGCCGCCCATGCCTCCTCCCATTTGACCACCAAGACCGCCAACTCCTCCAAGACCACCAGCGCCTCCAAGACCACCACCAGCTCCTCCGAAACCTCCAGCGCCAGTGGCGGCACCAGCACCAACTGCGCCACGAGCGGCACCCGCTCCGTTCCGGGACGTCGGACCCGCACCGCCCGGTGTCGTCGGGGCGGGCGTCACCGGACCACCGCTGCTCAGTCCGCCATTGCCCGGACCCGCGACGCCTCCCATTCCCCCAGCGCCGGCAGCTCCAGCCCCACTAATAAAACCGTTCGTAGTCGTGCCAGCGGCCAGTCCCGGTGCGGCACCGTTGTCTGCAGCTCCGAATCGACCGCCGAGCGGACCGCCGTTTCCAAACCCTCCTCCGCCGAGCTGACCAAAGCCACCGACACCACCACCACCACCGGCGCCGCCGACTTGCCCAAGACCACCAGCCCCTCCGACGGCGCCAAGGCCTGCGCCTGCGCCAAGACCAGCACCAGCACCTGCGCTAAGACCTGCGCCGAAAGTGTTGGCGCCGCCAAACAAGGTGCCCTGGCCGAACTGCTCCCGGTCACGAGCCATGGCGGGACTCATACGGCCCAGCCCGCGTGGGCCTTGTGCGAGAGTGCTGCCGTTCATACAGGCTAGCACCGTAAGTGCGAGTGCGAGTCGAGACATCATGGCGAAAAGGCGAAAGGTCTGCGGAAGCGGAAGCGGAAGCTGGCTGTGATTCACTTGAGCGTGGCGTGCAGAAATCGAGAAGTGAAAACCTCAAACAACGGCTTGAAGCTTTGAGCAGTTGTGACCGAGATACCCGCACCCAGGTGTCAATCCGATGGGAGAACTTCCACATCGCTCAATCCAAGCCGGATCTGGCTGTAGTCATCCACCCCCTTCACCAGTGCAAGAGACACGATGGTCGACGTCGGTTGACCCAAACACGAGGCTTGCTCGGACCCACCTCTCTCATTATTCGTTCCGCCTCCTGCTCCACACTCGTCCACCAAGCAACTAACCAAGCAACCAAACAACCAGTTCCAAGATGCACTGCAACTTCCTCGTCGTGCTGGGCCTCTGCGTCAGCGCCTCTATCCTGCACGCGACCGACGCGGGTGCGGCCCGAGGCGTAGCCCCCGATCGCCGCCGTCTGGGCCTCAACTACGACTACGACTACGGACACCAGCGCGAGCACCATGACCCGAAGAAGCACCACCACGAGAAGGGCCGGTCCTACTACCGCCGCCGCCGTCTCGAAGATGCCAAGGCGGCCGAGTCCTCGGACTATGCCTACGGCAAAGACAAAAAGGACGACAAGTACGGCACGGACACGTACAGCTATGGTAAGGATGACAAGTACGGCCACGACGACTACGAGCACACGAGTTACGGGTATGACGACTATGGCTACAAGAGCTACGGCAGGGGCGACTGCGACGACTACGGCAAGAAGGACTACTACGGTCGTGGTGACTACTACGGCAAGGACATCTAAGGTTACGGCTACGACGACTACGACGACTACGGCTACTACCCGGACTCGTACGGCTACGGCTACGGCTACGGCTACTACCCGACCTACTACTCGTCGTACTACGACTACCCTGGCAACTACTACGGCTACACCTACGGCTATGGCTACCCTGGTGTTGGCTTGGGCTACGAGTCCGCGACGGCTGGCGGAGACGCTGGCCTGACGGAATCGGCCACCGAGTCTGTGACTGCAGACGACTCCCCCAAGGCGGTGGTGGAGGAGAAGAAGACGCCGTCGAAGGAGGACAAGTCGAAGGAGGACAAGTCGAAGGAGGACAAGTCGAAAGACAAGTCGAAGGAGGACAAGTCGAAGGAGGACAAGTCGAAAGACAAGTCGAAGGGCAAGTGAGGCGCTCCGAGAGCGGAAGGTCCGAGCATGGCTCGCGCCTGCGTGTGAAATATGGATGGGCGTCTAGTGTAGCCCACAGCGTGTGCAAGGTATAATGTAGCGTCGACAAAAACTGGCTGCGGTTTTAGCAATCAGCGCCAATAGATGTGTTTTGGTTGCTTTCGGTCCCGTTTTCTTGTTCCTTGTAATTCTGTGCTTGACCTTGACATTGTCGTATCGGGATGCATGAGCTGGGCTGGTCAGTTATGGCGTGCATGGGATACATTCGGAACAACGTCGGCCAACGTTAAATGTGCATTCACTCACCAATTCGTCGAGAACATCAAACTTCGGATAGCAGCTTCGTTTTTGTAATTGTTCGCTAATGTCTCCAATGATTTGACATTTTCAGTTGTCAAAAAATGACTTGAATCTGATTTGGTTTGAGATATTGACACGATCTCGAGTATGTTGATATTTAGTAGAATAACCGAAATTTCGCATTCCGCGAGCGCGCCACGATCGCACGCGAACGCACGCACAAGACAAAAAAGACGAACAGGCATACACGAACACTTCAACTCGTTCTTGCTACGTCAATTACTCGTCCATCTATCTACTCGACCAAAACGTATAGTGCATCCATCTCCTACGCCGCTCCACCGGCGGCAAACTGACCCGCGCCACCGCCAAACTGCCCTGCGGCTCCCAAGCCACCGCCGAGTCCACCGGCTCCGAATCTTCCGCCGTTCATGCCGCCGAAGCCGCCGAGACCCCCCATTCCACCACCAACACCAGCACCGGCGCCACCGAATCCACCGGCTCCGGCACCTCCGAAGCGTCCGCCAAAGCCGCCCATGCCTCCTCCCATTTGACCACCAAGACCGCCAACTCCTCCAAGACCACCAGCGCCTCCAAGACCACCACCAGCTCCTCCGAAACCTCCAGCGCCAGTGGCGGCACCAGCACCAACTGCGCCACGAGCGGCACCCGCTCCGTTCGGGGACGTCGGACCCGCACCGCCCAGTGTCGTCGGGGCGGGCGTCACCGGACCACCGCTGCTCAGTCCGCCATTGCCCGGACCCGCGACGCCTCCCATTCCCCCAGCGCCGGCAGCTCCAGCCCCACTAATAAAACCGTTCGTAGTCGTGCCAGCGGCCAGTCCCGGTGCGGCACCGTTGTCTGCAGCTCCGAATCGACCGCCGAGCGGACCGCCGTTTCCAAACCCTCCTCCGCCGAGCTGACCAAAGCCACCGACACCACCACCACCACCGGCGCCGCCGACTTGCCCAAGACCACCAGCCCCTCCGACGGCGCCAAGGCCTGCGCCTGCGCCAAGACCAGCACCAGCACCTGCGCTAAGACCTGCGCCGAAAGTGTTGGCGCCGCCAAACAAGGTGCCCTGGCCGAACTGCTCCCGGTCACGAGCCATGGCGGGACTCATGCGGCCCAGCCCGCGTGGGCCTTGTGCGAGAGTGCTGCCGTTCATACAGGCTAGCACCGTAAGTGCGAGTGCGAGTCGAGACATCATGGCGAAAAGGCGAAAGGTCTGCGGAAGCGGAAGCGGAAGCTGGCTGTGATTCACTTGAGGTGGCGTGCAGAAATCGAGAAGTGAAAACCTCAAACAACGGCTTGAAGCTTTGAGCAGTTGTGACCGAGATACCCGCACCCAGGTGTCAATCCGATGGGAGAACTTCCACATCGCTCAATCCAAGCCGGATCTGGCTGTAGTCATCCACCCCTTCACCAGTGCAAGAGACACGATGGTCGACGTCGGTTGACCCAAACACGAGGCTTGCTCGGACCCACCTCTCTCATTATTCGTTCCGCCTCCTGCTCCACACTCGTCCACCAAGCAACCAACCACGCAACCAAGCAACCAACCAAGCAACCAAACAACCAGTTCCAAGATGCACTGCAACTTCTTCGTCGTGCTGGGCCTCTGCGTCAGCGCCTCTATCCTGCACGCGACCGACGCGGGTGCGGCCCGAGGCGTAGCCCCCGATCGCCGCCGTCTGGGCCTCAACTACGACTACGACTACGGACACCAGCGCGAGCACCATGACCCGAAGAAGCACCACCACGAGAAGGGCCGGTCCTACTACCGCCGCCGCCGTCTCGAAGATGCCAAGGCGGCCGAGTCCTCGGACTATGCCTACGGCAAAGACAAAAAGGACGACAAGTACGGCACGGACACGTACAGCTATGGTAAGGATGACAAGTACGGCCACGACGACTACGAGCACACGAGTTACGGGTATGACGACTATGGCTACAAGAGCTACGGCAGGGGCGACTGCGACGACTACGGCAAGAAGGACTACTACGGTCGTGGTGACTACTACGGCAAGGACATCTAAGGTTACGGCTACGACGACTACGACGACTACGGCTACTACCCGGACTCGTACGGCTACGGCTACGGCTACGGCTACTACCCGACCTACTACTCGTCGTACTACGACTACCCTGGCAACTACTACGGCTACACCTACGGCTATGGCTACCCTGGTGTTGGCTTGGGCTACGAGTCCGCGACGGCTGGCGGAGACGCTGGCCTGACGGAATCGGCCACCGAGTCTGTGACTGCAGACGACTCCCCCAAGGCGGTGGTGGAGGAGAAGAAGACGCCGTCGAAGGAGGACAAGTCGAAGGAGGACAAGTCGAAGGAGGACAAGTCGAAAGACAAGTCGAAGGAGGACAAGTCGAAGGAGGACAAGTCGAAAGACAAGTCGAAGGGCAAGTGAGGCGCTCCGAGAGCGGAAGGTCCGAGCATGGCTCGCGCCTGCGTGTGAAATATGGATGGGCGTCTAGTGTAGCCCACAGCGTGTGCAAGGTATAATGTAGCGTCGACAAAAACCGGCTGCGGTTTTAGCAATCAGCGCCAATAGATGTGTTTTGGTTGCTTTCGGTCCCGTTTTCTTGTTCCTTGTAATTCTGTGCTTGACCTTGACATTGTCGTATCGGGATGCATGAGCTGGGCTGGTCAGTTATGGCGTGCATGGGATACATTCGGAACAACGTCGGCCAACGTTAAATGTGCATTCACTCACCAATTCGTCGAGAACATCAAACTTCGGATAGCAGCTTCGTTTTTGTAATTGTTCGCTAATGTCTCCAATGATTTGACATTTTCAGTTGTCAAAAAATGACTTGAATCTGATTTGGTTTGAGATATTGACACGATCTCGAGTATGTTGATATTTAGTAGAATAACCGAAATTTCGCATTCCGCGAGCGCGCCACGATCGCACGCGAACGCACGCACAAGACAAAAAAGACGAACAGGCATACACGAACACTTCAACTCGTTCTTGCTACGTCAATTACTCGTCCATCTATCTACTCGACCAAAACGTATAGTGCATCCATCTCCTACGCCGCTCCACCGGCGGCAAACTGACCCGCGCCACCGCCAAACTGCCCTGCGGCTCCCAAGCCACCGCCGAGTCCACCGGCTCCGAACCTTCCGCCGTTCATGCCGCCGAAGCCGCCGAGACCCCCCATTCCACCACCAACACCAGCACCGGCGCCACCGAATCCACCGGCTCCGGCACCTCCGAAGCGTCCGCCAAAGCCGCCCATGCCTCCTCCCATTTGACCACCAAGACCGCCAACTCCTCCAAGACCACCAGCGCCTCCAAGACCACCACCAGCTCCTCCGAAACCTCCAGCGCCAGTGGCGGCACCAGCACCAACTGCGCCACGAGCGGCACCCGCTCCGTTCGGGGACGTCGGACCCGCACCGCCCGGTGTCGTCGGGGCGGGCGTCACCGGACCACCGCTGCTCAGTCCGCCATTGCCCGGACCCGCGACGCCTCCCATTCCCCCAGCGCCGGCAGCTCCAGCCCCACTAATAAAACCGTTCGTAGTCGTGCCAGCGGCCAGTCCCGGTGCGGCACCGTTGTCTGCAGCTCCGAATCGACCGCCGAGCGGACCGCCGTTTCCAAACCCTCCTCCGCCGAGCTGACCAAAGCCACCGACACCACCACCACCACCGGCGCCGCCGACTTGCCCAAGACCACCAGCCCCTCCGACGGCGCCAAGGCCTGCGCCTGCGCCAAGACCAGCACCAGCACCTGCGCTAAGACCTGCGCCGAAAGTGTTGGCGCCGCCAAACAAGGTGCCCTGGCCGAACTGCTCCCGGTCACGAGCCATGGCGGGACTCATGCGGCCCAGCCCGCGTGGGCCTTGTGCGAGAGTGCTGCCGTTCATACAGGCTAGCACCGTAAGTGCGAGTGCGAGTCGAGACATCATGGCGAAAAGGCGAAAGGTCTGCGGAAGCGGAAGCGGAAGCTGGCTGTGATTCACTTGAGGTGGCGTGCAGAAATCGAGAAGTGAAAACCTCAAACAACGGCTTGAAGCTTTGAGCAGTTGTGACCGAGATACCCGCACCCAGGTGCCAATCCGATGGGAGAACTTCCACATCGCTCAATCCAAGCCGGATCTGGCTTAGTCATCCACCCCCTTCACCAGTGCAAGAGACACGATGGTCGACGTCGGTTGACCCAAACACGAGGCTTGCTCGGACCCACCTCTCTCATTATTCGTTCCGCCTCCTGCTCCACACTCGTCCACCAAGCAACCAACCACGCAACCAAGCAACCAACCAAGCAACCAAACAACCAGTTCCAAGATGCACTGCAACTTCTTCGTCGTGCTGGGCCTCTGCGTCAGCGCCTCTATCCTGCACGCGACCGACGCGGGTGCGGCCCGAGGCGTAGCCCCCGATCGCCGCCGTCTGGGCCTCAACTACGACTACGACTACGGACACCAGCGCGAGCACCATGACCCGAAGAAGCACCACCACGAGAAGGGCCGGTCCTACTACCGCCGCCGCCGTCTCGAAGATGCCAAGGCGGCCGAGTCCTCGGACTATGCCTACGGCAAGGACGACAAGTACGGCAAAGACAAAAAGGACGACAAGTACGGCACGGACACGTACAGCTATGGTAAGGATGACAAGTACGGCCACGACGACTACGAGCACACGAGTTACGGGTATGACGACTATGGCTACAAGAGCTACGGCAGGGGCGACTGCGACGACTACGGCAAGAAGGACTACTACGGTCGTGGTGACTACTACGGCAAGGACATCTAAGGTTACGGCTACGACGACTACGACGACTACGGCTACTACCCGGACTCGTACGGCTACGGCTACGGCTACGGCTACTACCCGACCTACTACTCGTCGTACTACGACTACCCTGGCAACTACTACGACTACACCTACGGCTATGGCTACCCTGGTGTTGGCTTGGGCTACGAGTCCGCGACGGCTGGCGGAGACGCTGGCCTGACGGAATCGGCCACCGAGTCTGTGACTGCAGACGACTCCCCCAAGGCGGTGGTGGAGGAGAAGAAGACGCCGTCGAAGGAGGACAAGTCGAAGGAGGACAAGTCGAAGGAGGACAAGTCGAAAGACAAGTCGAAGGGCAAGTGAGGCGCTCCGAGAGCGGAAGGTCCGAGCATGGCTCGCGCCTGCGTGTGAAATATGGATGGGCGTCTAGTGTAGCCCACAGCGTGTGCAAGGTATAATGTAGCGTCGACAAAAACTGGCTGCGGTTTTAGCAATCAGCGCCAATAGATGTGTTTTGGTTGCTTTCGGTCCCGTTTTCTTGTTCCTTGTAATTCTGTGCTTGACCTTGACATTGTCGTATCGGGATGCATGAGCTGGGCTGGTCAGTTATGGCGTGCATGGGATACATTCGGAACAACGTCGGCCAACGTTAAATGTGCATTCACTCACCAATTCGTCGAGAACATCAAACTTCGGATAGCAGCTTCGTTTTTGTAATTGTTCGCTAATGTCTCCAATGATTTGACATTTTCAGTTGTCAAAAAAATGACTTGAATCTGATTTGGTTTGAGATATTGACACGATCTCGAGTATGTTGATATTTAGTAGAATAACCGAAATTTCGCATTCCGCGAGCGCGCCACGATCGTACGCGAACGCACGCACAAGACAAAAAAGACGAACAGGCATACACGAACACTTCAACTCGTTCTTGCTACGTCAATTACTCGTCCATCTATCTACTCGACAAAACACCGATTTCGGTGACAACTACGACTACTTCCAATATCGGCTTGGGGGTATGGCGCTTCCGTGTGTTAATGGGCCATCTTTTGGGGGCTGCCATTCGGCACTTTGCTCTCAACCAAAGCACCTCATGACTTTGGTCCATTAACACAATGAAAACACTTTAATCCCCCCACGCCTTGATGCATCGAGGAAAAGGCGGAACGAATAACGAGAGAGGTGGGTCCGAGCAAGCCTCGTGTTTGGGTCAACCGACGTCGACCATCGTGTCTCTTGCACTGGTGAAGGGGGTGGATGACTAAGCCAGATCCGGCTTGGATTGAGCGATGTGGAAGTTCTCCCATCGGATTGGCACCTGGGTGCGGGTATCTCGGTCACAACTGCTCAAAGCTTCAAGCCGTTGTTTGAGGTTTTCACTTCTCGATTTCTGCACGCCACCTCAAGTG